CCCCTGGGGCGGGGCCAATTTTGACCCCAGGGCTTTTATTTGTACAAACCCATTAGAACATGTTTCATGCTGAATATCTTAGCTCTAGCTCTTTGGGTTCTTTAAAAGAAGATTTTTTAAGTTTTTACTATATGCATATAGGGAAAATCAATGACCCCCTGGGGCGGGGCCAATTTTGACCCCAGGGCTTTTATTTGTACAAACTTGGTAGACACTCACTAGAAGATGTTTCATGCTAAATATCTAAGCTCTAGCTCTTTGGGTTTTTTAGAAGAAGATATTTAAAGTTTTTTCTTTTGGTTGCCATGGCAACCAGAGTTCTGCATGGAATAAAATTCTTTGAACAATTTTCAAAGGTGACCACCAAAGGAACATTCCTGTGAAGTTTGGATGAAATTGGCTTAGTGGTTTATGAGGAGATGTCATTTAAAGTGAAAGTTTACGGACGGATGACGGACGGACGCCGGACGAAAAGCGATCACAAAAGCTCACCCTGTCACTTTGTGACAGGTGAGCTAAAAAGCCCCATCAACCTTTCCACTTACTAAAACAGATTTGCTAAATAATACAGCTTTCTTAATATGCAACAGATAACATTGTTTGACCATCTGTTTCTCTGGGCAACAAACAAAAGGCTCCAACCAGACTCAACTGAACCATTCTACATTTTCCTCACCGGAGGGGCAGGATGTGGGAATATATTTTGTAAACACTTTGTATGAAGGGCTTGTTGAAGCTCTCAGAACTCCAGGACAAGACCCTGATAAGCCAACAGTGTTGATGACAGCATCTACAGGAAAGGCAGCATCAAACATCAATGGAATGACTGTTCATTCTGCATTTTGTTGCCAGTAAAAAGCATGTATATGATACCAATTTCCCATATAAACCACCAAACCAATTCAGGCTAAATACAATGAGTTGCAGCTTCAGTTATTTGCAAGTTATTGTCATAGATGAAATATCTACGCTTGGATCTACTTCATTTCAAAACCACTTGTCTTTGTGGATTACAGGAAATTTTTCAAAACTACAACAAGCCATAATTATGCAGGTGTTTCAATATTAGCTGTTGGAGACCTTTTACAGCTAAATCCAGTCAGACAAAGTCCAGTTTTCACTGTACCCACAAAGGGATAAGAATGAAAACTGAATGCATGTTTAAAATCCCATCTTCTTTGGATGGCAATCATTTATATGTTGGACATTTGAACATCAGATCTTTAAACAAACATTTTTGTGACATCATGAGTGATCCAGCTCTTCAGCAGATGGCTGTCATATGCTTAACAGAGACTAGAATGAAAAGAACACCAAAGCAGACGTTACTTACTAATTATTAAATGGTCCTTGACAACAAAAAACATGGACTAGCAATATTTGTGAAACAAGAATCATGTTTCTCGTGGAACTCGTTCCAAAATGGCCGCTTCGTGAGCCGCGACGTAGTTAAAATGAATGGTTACCGATTTCTATCCGCCTGGCGCCGGGCATAGTGGTAGGAGTTGGGAGGTACATGGTATGCAAGCAAAAGGTGTCTCATAAGTCAGAAATGGCTGGCCCTTTCACTAGGGGTGACACTATAATAAACAAGACCTTTACCTTTTACCTTTTATAGAACTTTAGATTTTAAAGACTGTGGTATTGAAGTCCTTGGAATAGCACTACCATATAATCAACTGACATATAACATCGTTGTTGCTTACAAGCCACCATCTTCTCCAGTTAAAATATTTCTCCGGCATTTACAATCACAGATAAGAACCCTCCAAAATTTAATCATCCTTGGGGATATAAATCAAACCGGAAATACTGAGATATTTCATCACTTCCTTCAGAAGAATGGTTTACATCAGTATATATCAACACCCACTCACAGCCTAGGTGATGTACTTGACCCTATTATAAGCCAGATACCAAACCAGACATTTACAAAGCCAGTCCCTTACACAGACCACCATTTTATTGCAGTAAAGCTCTAGATATCCAGTCAGAGTGATCTGTAACACAGGTAAAGACGTGTTATTCTTATATTCTGGTAATCTGACCAACCCTTTTTCACCAACTGAAGTTTTTTTTTATGGCTTTCAGACATCTAGTTACTGGATAATCTTTACGGCAAAGTGTTCACTATTTCTTAACATGGGCGACACTAAATATTCTCTTCAAATGTTGTATAGTTTACTGTTTGTGGTTTGAAAAAAATATCTTTTAGTTAGATGATATTTTTTCGTATGTACAATATCATTTTTATTTCATTTTGAATAAACTCAAAACCCAGTGGGAATGAATATTACATTGCATCACAAATAGTTGCAATAGGTTGTTTTAAAGGATTCTATACTGGTAACATAGCTACGAAATAGACATATTTCTTGGCGCAACAGAGATTGTGTTTATAGTCGTAGCCATTATGACCCTTCAGGCTTTAGAATTTTTACTGTTTATGCCATGATAAATATATAATTAAAGTCTTCCCACTCAGTTTACAGGGTTCCCACTCTTAGATATTTTGAAAATTTAAGGACTTTTCCAGGACTTATCAAGGACCTTTTTTGATTTTTTAAGGACTTTTTAGAAGATTGAATTTCAAGCTATTCAATTTTTTTGTCCTATGAATATTTTCATGGTAATGTTTAAAACAACATTTAATAACAATATAATACATGTAGTTCATGACATAAATCTAACTCTATCTAAGAAATACATTCAGTGTCTATAAGTAATGAAATGTACTTTGTGACAGCAACTGTTGCAGGTTGTCTGCAATTTTCATGTAATTTTGGTGTTTTTAATGCTTCCAAGGGATCACTTTTTTTACAAGATATTCATAGTACTTTAATAAGTAACCTCACATTTGACCTCAGTCCACTTAGGTGCATAGAATGGCAAAAGCATGTCACCCTGAAGGGTATATGAAAACTGCCTGCAGGTGTTTCTACATTAAAAATTTCACAACTTTCATGTTTAAATGTTGTACTCTGCTTAAGCCAGTGCTACGGGTTCTACAAAATATGGCAGCAGCACAAAATACCCAAACACACACAATTATAGCAATATTCATTTTGGTTTGTATACAATATAGATTTTAATGAGAAAATGAATTGATATTTTCAAAATAATGTGACTTAGCCAACTATTACTTTCATTCATTCCGTTGAAATTGGCAGTTCAGATGTTGTAAGAAAAAAAGTGACATTTGCTTTTCTAACTGTTAGGTTCATTAATGAATAGACAAATGTACTTGCAAGATATGAGATTTGTTGTCTACATTTAAATTTGAAGGGTATAATTTTGTTGTAATTTCATACAAGTTCATTCGTATTATTTTTTTTATTTAATAGTTTTCATGGAGTATACTGTTTTTGGGTATATTTTGGTTCAAAAATGAAAATTTGGGTATGTTCGATTACATCTTAGTGAAAGTGTATATTGTATTCATGATTAAAACAGCACTTTTTTTAGTATAACACATTCATTTTTAGTATATTGTGGCTAATATTTGGGTATTTCTTGCTACCCAAATATGGTGTGGCCAACTGGCTGTGCTTTGCCTTGACGTCACAATAGTTCATGTATGTAATACTATTGTTTATTTTATATTGATTTACCTTTGGCTTTTAGCATGGTTGTGAGCAATAAGGTTAAACAAATTGCCCAAGGAAACAACCAGACCTGTGAGCTTTCATGTTTCTTAGCACGGGCCAATCAAGCAAACTTGTGGTCGATTTGTGACTGTCTTATAACATTTTCCAAACAAAACTGCCATAGTAACCAGAAAATAAATGTTAAATCTCATAAATGTCAAACTTGGCCTCCCAAAACACTTGTAAATCGAAAAATCATCAACATTCAAGATGCAGAAGTCAATATACTGTGCTAAGACCGCCATTTTGGTTGTTTGATTTACCTCCCCTTTACCAGACTAATTCCCGTACCTTCCCGGACTTTTTTATGTATCAACACTAATTCCCGGACTTTTCAAGGCCGGGAGCTCCTGTTTTCAAATTCACGGACATTTCCCGTTTTCCCGGACAGCGTGGGAACCCTGAGTTTAGTTCAAGTTGAATTCCAGCAGTAGTTGCAGAGAACTAGCGCGGAAACGAAATTCGGATGAATGGACAGACGGCCAGACGGACAACGCCAAAACAATATCGGATTATCCCCCTCTGATTCCATCGGAGGGGGATAATAAGATGGACGCAGGAAAGGTGCTAATGTTTTTCTCTAATTATCTCTTTTCTACAAAAAAAACATTATGTTCAAAATTATACATGATTGTACACCATTTTTCTTAAAATTCAGTGAGTATATGATATTATTTTTCTATGTCTAGTCAACATGACCTTGTGACCTTGTACTTTGAATGCAACATTAACACATTGCTTTTGGAACATAAACATATGCACAAAATAAACATAAACACATAATATTCAATATTATAACGCTAGCAACCTTATGTGAAATGGATGGGCATATATATTATTATCATCACAGCAAACACAGCTAGGAAATCCCTAAAAATCATATTGCCTTACAATTCTGGAACCAATACTGCAAAAGCTTTTGCCAACATTTTAAAGCTCAGCCAGCATGCACATCCATGCAGTCTGCCACAGCGTAATAACTGGTGACTGACCAACTTAGCAAAATAGATGTTATCTGGAACTGGGCAAATATGGGCTTTTCCATTCTATTTCCCTGTTACAAACAGACTTTTACCATTAAAGTTTCATGGAGCACTACCTTTCAGAATAGAGAAGTCAACCTCTTGCGCTAATTTCGAAGCTGTAAGTGTACAAGTTTGTTTGTATACCCGGATAAGTCTGGGGAAAACCCCAACATATTCTTTATTCCGAGGTAAGTTTATTGGTAACGGACCATTTCAATATCGTATTTGGACAAATTCACTCGGCAAACTCAGCAGTTAGAGAGTTAAAATAAAATGAAAAGGAAGCTATATGTCAGGGTAATCTATGAGAACAGTACATTATACCGACCTTTTCATACTCTTCTTTACACTGGTCATTGTCACCAGACTTCACCTGACCTTCCAGTTGCTTCTTCAACTCACCCATCTCCTCCTGTAACTGTTTCACCCGAGACTTGCTCAACTACAACAAAAACCACAACAATCTTATGAGCCGTGTCATGACAAAACCAACGTAATGCATTTGCGACCAGCATGGATCCAGACCAGCCTGCGCATCTGCACAGTCTGATCGGGATCCATGCTGTTCGCTATCAGTTTCTCTACTTGTAATAGACTTGGTAAGCGAACAGCATGGATCCTGATCAGATTGCGCAGATGTGCAGGCTGGTCTGGATCCATGCTGGTCGCAAACCCATTATGATGGTTTTGTCGTGACGCGGCTCATATAACACATCATGTCAATGATAACATGTATGATAGATACTTCTATTTCTTATTTGCAGGTCTTTTTTTATTTATTTAACCCTGTAACATGATTATTATCTTGGGACTTGTCCATTTTTCAATCTAGATAAAACCATTTATGCTTCACAATACATGTACGATTTCTCAGTACATAAGATCTCTAACCTGTAACTAGAATAACTACTGGGAAATAATTATTATTCGTGAGGGATTACTTTAAGTGAATTTCGTGGTTCAAGTTAACCAAGAAATTAAGTCCCAAGGAACAAATTGTACCCAAGATAATATATAGTATGATTAATCAGTCAATAGAATCATAAAACTAAAAAGGTGTTCAATGTGGTTCGCAGTTGTGTACATTTCGTCGAAATTGCTTTTTACGAAATTTTATGCCCTCGAATTTAAATGATTTCACAGTACATGTATATAACACAAGATTTAAAGACTGGTTGTTATGTCCTGCAAAACCTAACCAGCCTCAGACCAGAGCAACAGTATGTACTAATGATTTACATTTTAAGACACTTGTAACCACCCTCATATCACTTTTTCCAGTCATCTTTTATCGTTAATTTTACAATTCACTGTGTAGCAAGCCTGATTTAGAAGACTATGAAATTCTTCATGAAGGAACATCAGTCAAAATAAAATAAATAGTAATTAACAATACAACTAGGTATATCAGTGTAAATGTATTCATTGTTATCAATTATATTTTAATCCAGTTGTATTAAGCGCCACCTTAACCGTACCCGAGTCATAATAACATACTGTTTCTGCAGTCTCTAGAAGAACTAGCCTTTCTCAAATTAGTGCACATAACAAGCAGTTTCTACTTATTGGAGAAAAACTAACAATTTATCACAATGCCAAATTCAAATTTATACCTTCAATGCTTCATTCTCCGACCTGAGTTTATCAACCTCATCTTTTTCTTTCGACAGTGAACTAAGATCTGATTGTAGCTTCTCTATCGTAGCATCTCTTTCCGCCTTCAAAATATAAAAGCAACCTTTACAATGCTTCCATTTTTATTCAACCCGAACTTGTTGTTAACATCAAAGATGCACAACAAAAGTTTTCCCTTGGGCAGGTTTACTGCATATATGACCCGGAAGCAAAGTTTGGTCCTGGGACAGCCATTTTACAGCAATATTGCCTCACAAGGTGACACTGGTCCATCAAAACTCACCAACCATTTTATAATTTACAATCCTTTATGGTAATTTGGTAACTTTTGTTTAAGTAAAATATTATCTTCTGTATTTTTTAAGTATTTTTTCTATTCAAGATACTCAGTTTACAAGCTTAACAGTTTATAACCAAGATGGCTGTGTTTGTAATAGAAACCTACATCTGAAACAATTTATGATGGATTTAAGTTGCTGAATTTAAGTTTCGATATTTGGGCCCACTAAACACTTTAATGAATTCCCAAAATCTCAAACAGGATCTCCATAGACCCCCTCTCTGAAATTCTATACAAAATATGTTTACAATGATTCCAATGAACCATTTAATAATATGAACATATCTCACAAAATTATCAGTTTTAAGCCTGGCAGTCATAAGAAAATTTAACAAACCCTTTACTTTAAAAACATCCGGTCACAAACAGGCACATTGGTAAAACCAACAAACTCTTTACAAAGCTAGCTGGACAAAGGCAGGGGAAAAATGTTGTTAGTATTGGGGTCAACAACAAAACTTACTGGCTATCAAGCAGTACAAATATCAAGTTCGCTTTTACCTGTTCATTTTCCATAACAAGGAGTTTGTCTTGAAGGTCAGTTCTTTCTCGTTTTAGTTTCTTAACAACCAAATCTAGTGCTGATTGGTGCTTTCCTTGCTTAATGAGTTCTATCTGCAAGCTATCTCTTTCGACCCAGACACTGGCAAGCTCTTTCATTTGTTCATTCTGAGTGTTGACAAGGTCAACATTTATCTGAAACATACATTCAACCACATCGATTATTTTTTTGTTATACAATCTGATTAAAGCTATGTACGCACAGCTGTGACTTAACACCAAGTGGAAAATTCTTACAATTCAAACTAGAACTATCACTAAATGTGATTAGTACCCCCACAAGACTGCTTCGGAAATGAGGAAGTTACTAGTAACAGAATACCTTGTTAAAGAATTGAAATAGAGTTATGGTTGTGGGCAATTAAAGATAGTTGTGGTTCTTGTATGTTGCATTTCCTTTCAATGTGGTTGACCATTGATGAAGTTTTATTGAATTACTCTGTAATAAATCCAGAAAGAGTTATGCTTCTTGAGCACTGCACTTCCTCTCATTGCGCTTCACCATTGTATGAGGTTGCATTGAATCTAAACATTAGTTTTTAAGATATGCACCTGACAAGAAAAAGGAACAAAGGGCAATAACTCTACAAATACAGAAGATGGAGTTATGATTATTGTACACTGCACTTCCTCTCATTGTGCTTGCCATTGTATTAAGTTGTATTGAATTCCAACTACTTGTTTTCAAGTTATGCAATGGACAAATAAGGAACAAAGGGCAATTACTGTAATATGTCCAAATAGAGTTATGGTTCTTGTTCACTATTTTCATCTTACTGCCCTTGACAATTGTATGAAGTTTCATTGAATTCCTAATTTTCAAGATATGCACTGGACAATAAAATGTAACAAAGGGCAAAAACTCTTAAATGAGTCAAGAAAGAGTTATGGTTTCTATGAACTGCGCTTCCTCTCAATATACTTGACCATTGAATAAAATTGTATTGAATTCCAAGTAGTTTTCAAGTTATGCTCTGGACAAAAGAAAGCAATGGAAAAGTAACAAAGGGCAATAACTCTGTAATAACTTTAGATTGAGTTATGGTTCTTGTGCGCTGCACTTCCCCTTATTGTGCTTGACCATCGTATGAAGTTGTTTTGAATTCAAACCAGTAGTTTTCAAGTTATGCTCCGGACAAGGAAAATGCAACAGACTGCTGGACCGAGCGACCACTGGGTGACTCCTTGTATGCCCCCCCAAACTTCATTTCCGGGGTATAATTAAGATCTCTCGTTTTAACATTTCAAATAGATCGATATCTCTCACATGCAGCTAAAATAACATGTGCTTCATAATACTTACAGACATATAAACTTCAATTATACTTATGAAATAAGCTTTAAAACTTTCTTTATAGTGTTCGGCTTTACAGCACACTTCAAAACTCTTGATGGTTAAATGGCGTTTTTTACAGCCTATTCAGAATAATCAAGACCACAGATTTAGTTATATGTACTTCAAGTATGGACAACCACCTAGGAGTAGAACTGACCTTTCACATGTTAGTTTGACCTGTGTAACTATTTATACCAATGTGGTAAGGTTTGTATTGAAATCAATAAAATGACCAACTCCATTACCTCTTTTAATTTTTCAGCTTCCATGCTAAGTTGGCTAATCCTCTTTTCTAGACCCTCACATTCGTTGTTTCTTGCTTGATGTTTTTCCTCAAGTTGAGGAATTTCCTTGTCTTTGTCTGCAAGGAGTACTTCTAATTCTTGAATCTGTAATAATTGATTCATTAACATGAGTATTTTTTACAAAGTCACATATTATTCAACATCTTATATTCTTATTAGGGGAAAAGTATACGTTTTCATCAAAGTGATAAAATATTACCAAAAATGAAGAACAGAGATTATATATGATAGTAATATAAAATTTGTCAAAATTAAGTTCTTTGGTTATATAAGTGAAAATGCCTAAATCGACTAATTCCAAGCCTGACAGAAATATATAGATAATCAATAGATTAAAAAATAATATTTTTTTACCTGAATCTTTTGTATTGTTTGTAGAAATTTGTTATTCATACTAGATTTCCATCATTTAATTATCTTACTCAATGCAGAGAAACTGTGTGACAATACATTCCACTTGTCATCTCTCTGTTGATCCAATTCTGCGCTAATTTACTTGTTACCGCACACATACTTTTGTTACGCCGTTCAAGTTCCTGAACGCTTATACTTCGCTAGGAGAATTATTTATCAGTAAACTCTCGTTCAGCTGTATTCAACTTTTTTCCTTTCAAAAATGCTTATTTGCTTGATTCATTCCTCTAACGATTGACAGAAAAGATTAATCCAAATACTTTTCTTTTAGTTTCATTTCAGAGTTCAATTGCTTACACTTCATGTAATCTGCTGCAGTTTCTTCATTCACTAACTCTAGTGCCATTGTGTGTTTGGAATTCATTTCTTCTATCTTTTCCTCCATCTTATACAAAGATTGTTTCAACACTTCATTTTCACTATTCTTTTCAGATTTTTCAGTTTCTAACTGCCTTACTGTCTTTTCAAATGTCTCTTTTTCAGTTTGTAAACTATAATTTTCAAATTCTAAGGACTCCATTGCATCTTTTAATGTTTCAATATCACTCTCTAGAGATCTTAATTTCTTTTGCATCTCATCACCTTCTATTGAACTTTCTTTTTTTAGAGTCTCTTTCTCTTCTAACTCAATTTTCAAATCACTGTTTTCAGATTGTAGCTTTGTAAGAATATCTTCCAATTCTTTCATTTTTTCAATAGTTGAGTTGTATTCTTTCTGTGCCATACTGAGAGATTCCTGTAGTTCTTTGTTCTTTCCCTCAGATTCCTTAAGATCAGTTCTAAGAGTAGCAACTTCATCCTCTTTAATTGCAGTCTCAAAACTGGTATATTCAATCACTCCTTCAAGCTCTTCCTTTTCACTTTCTAAAGACCTCAACTCGTTTTCAAGTTTATCAATGTTTGACTGAAGTCTACATATTTCATTCAACTGATCCTTACTCTTCTTCTCACTCTCATTTAACTCCTCTTGCATCACTGATGCACTTAACTTCAGGTTCTCAACCTCTGATTCAAATGAAGTACATTTTTCATTCAACAAACCACACTTTTCTTCATAACATGTTAATCTGGATGACATGTCCTCTTTTTCGCCACATAATAATTTGATTTGTTCTTTAGCTTCTATAAGATCAGCAGAAAGCATATCAGTCTCATTACTTCTCTGTGAAGATTCCACTTGGAAGTTTGCAGACTCCTTCTCTAGTTTGTTCACAATATCTGTAGAAAATTTTAATTCTATTGATAATTCCTCTTCTAAACACTTGATTTTTTCAACATTTTCATCCTTCAAAGTTTGTAGAGATTTTATGGTCTGTTCTCTTTCTAAACTCTCCTTTTCCATTCTAGTGATTTCTAATTGTAGATTATCAATTCTTTCCTTCAGATCATGTTGTTCTTTGTTTTCATTCACCAACTGGTCTTCTAAATCACTGATGCAAGACTTTATGTCTTCTAATTCACGGGTAATTTTATTGTTTTCTTCATCTTTCTTATCCTTTAGCCTACTTTCTTTTGCAACCTCTTCCGACAAAGATTCTATTTTCTGCTCAAAGTCTGATATTCTCTCATTCTTTTCAGCAATTGTATTATTGAAGTCATATATCTGACCGTCGATAATGTCTATTTTCTTCTTGCAGTTATCAAGCTCAAATGTCACAGATTTCAAGTCCTTTTCAATATCTTGCTTTTCCTGCTGCAGACAAGCAATATCACTTTCTCTATTTTTTATTGTATCTTGCAGTCTATAAATATTTTCTTGATATTCATTGTTTTTCTCCAAAGCTTCTTCAAGCTGATTTCTTTGCACTGATTTTTCATCTCTTGACTCCAATTTTAACTTTTCTATTTCTAGTTTTGCTTGTTGAAGGCTATCCTCTAGTTCAAGTTTTGCCTGAGATAACTCATATATTTTTTCTTGTTGACTTTTGTAATCACCATCTACTTGGTCTAGCTGACTCTGTAAGTTTTGAGAAAATACCTGAGTGGATTGCAGTTCTTGTTCACGTTCTACAATTTTTCTCTCATACTGTTCTTTCTCAGATCTTAAGATTCTTAGCTCCTGTTCAATACCATCTAATTTCAATGTTGATTCAGATTTTTCATCTTCCAAGTCATTCAATTGTGAGAAAATTTTGTTTCTTTCATTTAATGCATCCTCTAACTCGTGCTTCAAATTACAAGTGGTCGATTCTAGAGTTTCAACTTTGTTTTCAAACTCCTCTTTTTCACTCAAGAGTTTTTTCTGCACTTTTTCTGTATTTTGCAAAGTGTCTTCCAGCAATTCAATTTCATGCTCAAGGGATTTGACCTTGTTCTCTAATGTTGATTTGTCTGATGCACTCTGGTCTCGTAAATAAATAAACTCATTATCCCTATCAAATAGCTTTTTTGAAACATTTTCATTTGTCTCCTGCAATGAAGCTAATTTTTCATTGGCTGCTTCAAGTTGTATTTGTAGACTTTCTAATTCATTATCTTTACCTGCTAGAGTGTTCTTTAAGTGTGTAAGCTCTATATTTATTTTTGCTTGTGTCTCACTTAAATCTGTATCACTTTTATGACTTTTTTCTTTCAATTCTTCAAGCTCTGAGGCTCTTGATGACAATTTTTCCATTAACTCATCAGCCTCTAATTTCAACTGATTCAAAGAGAACTTCAGCTCTCTTATTTCCTGCTCATTTTCTGTTATTTTCAAATCTTTTTCTTCTAAAACTTTCTCAATATTTTCCTTACATTCTTGTGTTTCTAACAGATTGTTTTTGAGGCTTGTGATTTCGTTTTCTAACTCATTTATTTCTGTCTTTTGCGCCTGTGTACAATTTGATAGTTCTTTGACTTGTGTCGTTAATAGTGCATAATTCACTTCAGTATCAACTAGAGCCTGATTTGAGGAATCCTTCAAACTTACTATTTCATTGTTAAGTCTCGCAATGTGTTCTTGCTGCTCTTTTTCCTGACATTGACTTACAGATAAGCTATGTTTCATGGCAGCTATTTCTTCCTGTTTCTTTACTAATTCTGTTTCTATGGCACTGTATTTCAACTCCCAGTTTTCAATAAGACCAACATGTTTACTTATGCTATTATCTAGCATACTGATTTTTTCATCTTTCTCTGTTAAAGTTGCTAAAGCTTCTTTCAGCTGAAAGCTTGTTTCGTCTAGTCTTGTCTGAGAGGATAGTTGTTCAGATTGACTGTTTGACATAATGCTGTTCATTTTATCAAGTTTGCTACTGTAGGACTTATTCTCTTCTTCAAGATGATTAATTTTATTCAAAGCTGTTGAATTCTCTTCATTGACCCTTTCAACTTCTTCTTGAATGCACTGCACCTTACACTTTGCATTTTCCAGTGATGATTTATACTCCTCTATTAATGACTCATATTCATCCAATTTTCCCTGTTTTTCATTGATTATTTCTTCAAGCTTTATCTTTTCTTCATTTAACAATCTTTTATCTTCTTCGAGTGTGAAGTGATTTGTATCCTGGCTCTGCTGCAGCTGAGTTATTTCAGTCTTACTTTCAATCATCTGGTCTTCAATTCTCTCAAGCGTTGTGCGGTATTTTGTCAAAGTCTCTTCTAAATGTTCCATTTCTTGTTTTACATTCTGAAGTTCCTCTGCTTTACCATCAACAATGTTCTGTTTCTCTTCAACAAGTCTCACAAGATTTGTTTTTTCCAAATCAATTGAGGTTAATCTATCTGTTAAATTAGCAACTGATTTTTCCAGGTTAGCATTTTCTTTTTCGAACTTTTCAACCCTTTTGTCTGTCTGCTGAGCCTGCTCTTGGAGTTCTTCACAGTCTTCCTGGCTAACTTGTAGTTGAAATGATTTTTTATTTAGCATGTCATTAATATTTGAAACTTCCTTTCCTAGTTTCTCATTGGTCTGACTCAATGTCTGTATTTTCTCCTCAAGCAACTTTACCTCATTACTTCTCTCACTAACAACTTGTTCTGTATGTAACTTATGAGCTTCAAAATTATCAGCTATGTCAAGCCTGTCACTTTCTACTGCATTTAACTCTTTTTCCACATTGTCAAGTTTTGTTTGCAGTATTTCAATCTCATTTACTTTATGAGACAACTCCATTTCGAGTTCTTCAGATTTTCTTTTGTTGCCCTCTGCTTCATTGGACATTTCTATGATATTCAATTCCAGTGTTGCTAATTCACTCGCTAAAGTCTCATTTTGATCCTTGAGCTTGTCTTTAAGACTATTCAATTCTGACTGCGTGTTCCTCAATTGTTCCAGATACACATTGGCCTTTTCCTCAAATTCTTGTGCCTTTAATTTACTTTCATCATAATCTGATGTCAATTTTGTCAGTTTTTCTTCAAGCTCATTATGCAATTGTTCTGCTTGAGTAATTTTTCCCTGATATGTATCTGACAGGTGTTTCTCTCTGTCTAAAGCAGATTTGAGGTTTTCTATTTCTTCCTTTTGTCCATCAAGTATATTTTTTGTTTCCTCTTTCTCCATATTAATTTTTGCTGTTAAAGACTTTTCACTTGACTGCAGACTACATAATTCATCTTTAAGAGCTGCCCTCTCAGATTCTAACTCTGTTACTCTTAAATCAGATCTCTCTTTTAATGCCAGGTTATCTTCCAAAGAGCATTTTAAAACCTCAATTTCATTCTTCCCTGACAAATATTGCTTCTCAAATTCTACTTTCTCAAAGCTTGTTTTCTCTAATGCACTGTCTTTATTCTGTAGATCTTCCCTTAAATGATCTCTCTCATCAATGAGACCTTTGATTTCATTATCTCTACCTTCAATGATGTTTCTATATTCCTCATTTTGCTGTTTCATCTTGGCAATATCTACGGATATTTGAATACTGTGTTCACTCTGATCATCTTTCAGTTGTATATTTTCAGATTCGAGAGACTTCATTTTCTTGCCCATGATTTCATTTTCATTCAATAATTCCAAGTTTGTGGTAGATAATGCTTCAAATTCTGTTTTTAAACTGTGCAGTGAAGATTCAATGTTAGTTTTCTCCTTAGTTACCTCTGTTATATGCTTATCAGTGGTTTCCAATTTTTCATTTGCATGTTCCAACTCCTTACTCAATGACTCAAACCTTTGATCTTTTTCCACAACTGTATTTTCCAACTCTTTGATTTCATGTTGGAACTTAAATATCATAGACTGTTGTTCTTTGTTCATATTTTCAGCTTCTTCATGTTGATTTGTTTTTCTTTCTAACTCATCCTTAAGTTTCAATTGTTCACAATTCAATTCACTTATTTCTGTATCTTTATTTTCTACAGTATTCTTTAAATGGTCTAATTCCTGATCGGTATTTGCCTTATTCACAGCTTCTTCTACAGACTGATCACTGAGTTCATCTTTCAGGGATTGTATTTCTGTTTGCAAAATGGTTAGGTTGTCTGACTTTTCAGTAATTTCCTTTTTACCTTCAGATACTGCAAACTCTAATTCTTCTACCTGTTGCTTTAACTCCATTTCAACTAGCTTTAATTGTTCTTTTTCTTCACGGATCAAATCTAAAGATTTTTCAGTCTTTTCATAGCTCTCTTTAATATGAGACAATTCATCATTTAATTTCACATTTTCTTCACTTTTTGCATCAATTATGTTTTTCAGTTGAGTGTTTTCTTGCTCAAGTTCAACCTTCATTGCTGTATATTGAATTTCTGACTTATTCAATTCATCTTTCAGGGACTGTTGAATAGTATTTAGTTCAAGTACAGTTTTCTCATGATGATCCAAAGCCAGCTTTGATTCTTTCAAAGCAAATGATGTTTGTGTAAATTCTTCAGACATACTTACAAATTTTTCATTTGCAACTGCTAACTCTTGTGCAAGTTTAATGTTTTTGTTTTCAACTTCATCTATTCTTTCTGATTTATGTTCTAATTCCAATCTTAATTGTTTCATTTCACTTTCTTGTCCATCAACGACATTTTGTTGTTCAGACATTTGCTGTTTTAAGTTTGCATTATTTACAGAATCTTCCATAGCCTGATCACTCAGATCATCTTGGAGTTTTTCAATTTCATGTTGAAGCTCTGATATTCGCTCCTGATATTTAACCTCAGCTGTTTTCATTTCACATAAAGTATGTTCAAATTCTTCTACTTTAGTCTTTTCAACAAAAAGCATAGACTCTAATTCTGATTTTTCATCAGATAAGTTCTTCTTTGTTTGAGATAACTGTTCAATATCCTTTTCTTTAAGTGCTACTTCATTTCTTAAACTTTCCAGTTCACAATCCTTTCCTGACATAATGTTTTTCATCTCATTTAACTCTTGATTAAGTGTAGCTAGTTTCACTGATGACTCCATAGTACAGTCACTTAGTTCATCCTTCAAACATTTCATGTCATTTTTTAACTGTTCAAGTTCCGAAATTTGCTTTTCTTCAACCCTTTTTAATTCTTGAAGGGCAAATTTAAGTTCTTCCAAATTTTTTTCTTGTTGCTGTGAAAGCACAAATAAGTCTTCTTTCTCACAATTAACCTTTTCTAAAGTTTCATTTGCTTTTTCAAATTGACTATTCAGATTGTCATTTAATTTCTCTAAAGTCATTTTTTCTTTTTCTAAAACATCTGATTTACTTTTAAACTCGTCTAATTCTTGACTAAGCTTTGCACTATTAGCAGAATCATGCAATTCTTTTTCCTTTATCTTATCTTTCAAAGCTTGTATTTCACTATTTTGGTCCCCAATAGTATTCAGCTGCTGTTGATCTGAAGTCCTCAGCTCATCTACATTATCCTGAAGTTGTTCAATCTCCTTTGTAAGGTTATTAATCATTGCTTCCTTTTCAGCAATCTCACTTTTATGTTCATCAACTTCATCTTTTAAAGTCTTTATCATTTCACTAAGTTCCTGCAAACTTTTGTCTTGTTTTTCTTCCATAAGTTTTGACTCCTCTAATGAAAAAGTGAGACTTTCAATTTCCTTCTCTAAACTAAAGACTTTTGACTCAAGTTCATTTTTTATATCACTTATATTGTCAAACTCTTCTGATTTTGCATTCATTTCTTCCGATTTCCGCTGCAGTTCATCTTCAGCAGTTCTTAGTTTTTGTTCTGTACCCTCAATATTACTCTGTAAACTTTGGATTTTTTGGTTTAGATTTGCAGAGTTAACTGACTGGTCCATTTCCTGATCCACTAATTGATCTTTTAGACTAACCAATTCGTTGTTCAATCTTGCAATTTCAGAATTCAATTTTTCTTCTTTCTGCCTGTAATCCTGTATGGTAAAATCAAATTCATCTAATTTTCTTTCAGATGAATTAAGTTTAGACAACAACTCCTCTTTTTCTACTGAGACCTTGTCTAACATCAAAGTTTTTGTCTCTAAACTTTCTGACTTGCATTCTATTTCTTTTGCAAGCAATTCAATTTTTGATTCTTTATCAGCAACATGCAGTTCAAGCTCATCAATTTTTGTTTTAGCTTCAGAGTTCATCTGATTAAACTCGCACTCTTTGATGCTGAGAGCATCCTTCATTTCAGAATTTTGATGTTCAAGATCTATCAGTTTCATGCTTAGCTTATCATTTTCTTGCTTCATCTGTTCTAAAGAGAAATTTGCATTTTCTATGTCTTTATCTTGTCTGGAACACTTTTCTTCAAGATCTCTAAATTTATCTAAGGACTCTTCATTCTGTTTTAAAAGATTTTCAAGTTCATTCTTTGATCTATCAATTTCTTTCTTTAAAACCAGAATTTCCTCATCTTTACCATCACATTCTGATTTAAGATCTTCTTCTAGCTGTCTTAGTTGTGCTGTCATACCAGAATTTAATGTCTCTTTTTCATTTAAGGAGTCTTTCAATTCAGCTATTTCTTTGGCATGTTCAAGACCCTTTGCAGTAAGCTGCTCTTCTAAATTTGTCAATGTTGCTATTCTTAAAGCAGCTTCTTCATATTTTGCTTCATAATCTTTTACTTGTACTTCAAGATCTGTTTTTGATAATTCTAAAGACCTAACTGTCTCTGATATCTGTTCAAGTTTCTCTACATGAGAGCTGTTTTCTGATCTTACCTGATCAATAATGCTATTTTTCTCTGCTAATTCACTACTTAATGACTCTGTTTCAGACAAAAGTTTTGCTGAAAGCTCTTTTTCACTTAAATCTCTTGCACAAAGCTCATCTTTTAAGGTACTTATTGCTTGATTTAATTCAACTATTTTGCTCTGATCAATTGCATTTTGTTGCTGGCTTACTTCAAGCTCATGTTTAAGGACATCAAAATTTTCAAGGTGTCCTTTATTCTGAATTTCCAAGCTTTCCTTCTCTTTGTGCACTGCATTCAACTGTTCTGATAATTTATTCTTTGCCAATTCACATTCATTAAGTTTTAGTTCAGTTTGTGTGACCTTGCTTTCAGCACTTTCCAAAGAAAATTTGGTTTCATCTAGTGCCTTCTCTAGTTTAAACACTTGTTCCTTACTTTCGCCAAGTTCACCAATAGCCTTTTCAAATTTGAGGTTTAAATCCATCTTTTCACTTTCTGAGCTTTTCATTTGTTTCTCTAATTCTGTCTTTGATACTTGCAACAATTCAATCTCATTATGACTCTCTTGTAAACAAGCACTTTTCTTTTCAAGATCATCACTCAGGCATGACTTCTCACTACTCAATTTCTCTATTTCTGCTTTAAAGGATTTAATGTTAGCCTCATACTTACATATTTCATTTTCAATCTTATTTTTTTCTTCCTGTAACTGAAGTTGGGTGGCTTCCATTTCAGTTTTTAAATTTATCACTGTTTGTTGAGATTGTTGCAATTCATTTGTAGCACGGTCTAGTTTGTTTTGACTTTCCTCAAGCGTGTCTCCTTTGTGTGATAGTTCAGTCTGCACCTGAGACAATTCTCTTTCTTTTCCATCCACAATATTTTTCAATTCCTGTATCTCCTGCTTGAATGAGCAATTCATATTCATTTGCTTCTCAGTTTCCTGCTTAAGTTGTCCAAGAGTAGATGCAAGAGTACACTTTGTTTTTTCTAGACCAATTACTTTCTTTTCTAATGTGTCCTTTTCATTTTCAAGATTTTTCAATTCTGACTGAATGTCTTGAATTTGTCTTTCTTTATTTTCAACACTTGTCTGGAAATTCTTTCTGGAATCTTTCACATTATCAAGCTCTGACATTATACTTTTAATCTTTTGCTCTAGTCCATCATTCTTATCTGTCAGCTCTCTTACTTGTTTATCAAGATCTTTCTGAAGAAGATCCACACTAGCTTTCTGCTGACTAAGTGATGCCTCTTTATTTTTCAAATCACATTTCAGAGATTCACTCAATGTTTGAGCGTTCGTCAAGGAGTCTCTCAAAAATTTCAAATCTTTGTTCAATTTTTCATTTTCCTGATCTTTTGCTGTCAGATTATTTTTTAATTCACCTATTTCCATGTCAAGTTTAGCCTTGGCCTGGGTATCTTGTGACAATTTACGACCAGTGCTATCTTTCAAATTCTGAATTTCATTTGTTAAGGCTTTCAACATATTAACAAGTTTCTCCTCTTTTGTTTTGGCCTCTGTCTTAATTTTGTCCATTTCATGTTCTTTCTTGTCTAATAAATCTTTAAGGCTTTTGATCTCAGTAGATAGCTTCTTTTCTAGTATTTTCATATTTTCTTTCTCTAATTTAAGCTGCTCTTGTACATTTTTGAACTCTGATTCCTTCACTGACCCCTTATCTTTAAGCTTTGATTTTAACTCTTCATTCTCAGCCTGAAGAGCATGCAGCTGATTTTCCATGTCTGAAGATTTATGCTTGAGTGTATTACACTCATTTCTCAGGGCTGAACTGTCTTTGCTCTGATGCTGACTCATTTGTTTCAGCTTTTCATGTTCAGCAAGAAGTTTTTCGTATTTATCTCCCTTACCAATCTGATCCATCTCAAGCTTTTCAATACTGGTCTGCAAATGGGAAACCTAAAAAGAAAAGTAATAATAAATAGCAGGAAATCAATAAAAGTACATAAAATGTAACTTGTTTCATTAAAATAAAAAATAAAAGTGCTCAAAAGTACATAAAATGTAAATTGTTTCATTAAAATAAAAAAGAAAAGTGCTCATTTGTCACAAAATATGTCCCTAACAAATACTCAGTCTCACAGTAGTGAATATTTACATTAAATTTCCCCACAATTCTTGATAACTAAAAGACCATTACTCGCATTTTCAATTTATCATCTGACCTCTGCTTGTGACCTTGACCGTGGCTGAAGGGACTTGGAATTTATTTTGCACACAATACTATGCCTAATAATGTTGAACATATTTGGCAAATTACATAACAATCCACCTGATATGTATTGTGATATTTTTTGGGGGTTTTTTGGCCCGTGTTTTTGTCAAAAACAAGAGGGTCGTAATAATAGTTTTACTTTTTTTACTTAACAAGAGCTGTCACAGGAGACAGCGAAGATCAACTAATAAAATACTGGACGCAGTAAGGAAGAAAAAATTATGAAAGAAAAATAAATTATGTATAATTATGTATTAAGTTATTGTAAAAAAAATAACATAAATTTGTTAAAATGAATCCCAAGTTCAAGGAAGTTATATAACTGAAGATTTTTGTTTGTTTTGGGTTTTACGTCACATTGACACAGTATAGGTCATATCGCGACGTTCCGGCTTTACTGGTGGAGGAAAACCTCAGGTGCCCTTCCGTGCATTATTTCAGGCACGAACGGGTACCTGAGTAGAACCACCGACGTTCCCTAAGCTAGCTGGATAGATATAACTAAAGAAGTTATAGTAAAAAAATAATATTTTTCAAGTAAAAAAATCTCAATTTATGGGGAGATAATTCTTGCAATATTGGTGCTAGCGTTATGAACCTTGTCACATAACATGTCTTTATGATAAGGAACATATATTTAAAGTATGAAGTTGATCCCTTTAAAAATAAAGAAGTCACAGTAAAAAATATTTTTTAAGGAAAATTCTAAGTTCAAGGGGAGAAAAATCTGAAAATATTGGTGCTAGAGTAATGAACCTTGTCACATAATGTGGTTAATGATAAGGAACATATATTTAAAGTATGAAGTTGATCCCTGAAGAAATAACAAAGTTACAGTAAAAAATAGTATTTTTTAAGGAAAATTCTAAGTTAAAGGTGAGATAAATCTGAAAATATTGGTGCTAGAGTTAAGATCCTTTTCACATAACATGTGGTTGATGATAAGGAACATATATTTGAAGTATGAAGTTGATCCCTTAAGAAATAAAGAAGTAACAGTAAAAAATAGTATTTTTAAAGGAAAATTCTAAGTTCAAGGGAAGATAAATCAGAAAATATTGGAGCTAGAGTTATGAACCTTGTCACATAAGATGTGGTTGATGAACAGGAACATATATTTGAAGTTTGAAGTTGATACCTTAAGAAATGAAAAAGTTATAGTGAAAAATATTTTACTGCACCAAAACTTTAATCTGAAATCTGGACGCGACGTCAGGACAGTAAGACAGCTCTTTACATACTTCGTATAGTCAAGCTCAAAATGTTTGTTTGTTTGTTTAATTGGGTTTTACGTCACATTGACACAGTATAGGTCATTTGGCGATGTTCCAGCTTTACTGGTGGAGGAAGACCTCAGGTGACCTTCCGTGCATTATTTCAGGCACAAACGGGCACCTGAGTATAACCACCAACGTTCATCAGCTAGCTGGATAGCTTCATCACATGAAAGAATCCAAAGTCCCTGTCTGGATTCGAACCCACAGCAGAGAGGGGCAAGTGGTTTGAAGTCAACGACCTTAACCACTCGGCCACGGACGCCCCCGAGCTCAAAATGCAATTTCTTAGAAATAATTTACAATAATACACAATTTAAGACTTTAGAACTAAAAATCCTGACATTTAAACTTAAACATTTTCCTCCATATTTTACCTTGCTATTTTCTTGTTCAAGAACCTTCTTCAGATGAGCAATCTGTCCATTTAGGGTACCAATATGTGTTTCCTTGGTATGTAAATCTGTGGCCAGTTTCTGGCGTTTTTGTTCCACCTCTTCACAAGCCTCTGACAAACTCTGTGACTCTCTTTTGAGGGCGGACATCTGTGACCTCTCATCTTCAGCTTTTCTTTTTTCCTTCTGTATTACCTAACAAACGAAGATAGTGATAGTGAAAGAGAGCTGAAGAATTTATACAATGACTTTTTTCTGCTTTTCTTTTTTAAACCAACTATGGGTTCGCAATTAGGAAAATAACCATGACATGTTCAAGTTTTGGGAAATCATATTCTACATTCAAGTTTTCATAGCTTACATTTTTCTACATTCAAGTTTTCATAGCTTACATTTTATATATCTGAATTAAACCTTAAAACAATTATATAATTATTTTTACAACTATGCAAGTTTGTAACATCGCTCATCATCAGATAACCATGACGTTTTTAATGAAATAAATAACTGCTGTCAATTTATGAAGTAATTGAATTTTTTCTTAAGAAGTTTGCTGTATCAAAAATCATTACAATATAAAGATTTTTGACAGGTTAAATGACCATATATAAACATTTTTTGGACAATGTAACCAATGCCAATTGATGCTAAATGGCCCAGTTTATATATTCAAACAACCATTTTTATTATAGGGCCATATACAATGAAACCTGTCAAAAACCTTCAGAACTTGTAAAATTAAATAATTAATAGACCAGAATGAAATATTTGAGCTATATCAATTTTTAGATCATTTTGGCATTCACAATTTATTTATATTATTTTGTAGCAACCAGTATTCTATTCTAGGATGAGAAATTCACATCACTTTTTTTGAAGATCCTGCACATTTATTGAAACATGTGCATGAAAATCCCCAATCTGAATTTACAGTCAGGTACAACTCTTGTTGTAGTAAATAAATGTTTTAGTTAAAAAAATTTCATCATTTGAATGATTTGATTTAAACATGTTTACCCAAAGTAGACAAATCATGTCTATGAAAAGAATAATTTTGAGCAGTGTTTTGTAAACCTGGCACTGATAAAGCATCAGGCTCCTATGATGCAAGGTTTTGTTGTATTTTCCTTGAATTAGGAATTTTCCCATAGAAATTGAGTGGGGAAAAAAAACACACTTTCAAGGATTTGGAACATGACACAATTATGGTCAATTGGTCATCATTATGGACCTCAAAAAACAAACCTAGTCTATAACAAGGCAGTCTGAAGGACAGCTAAATCCCCTTCCGCAGTGAACATGAATGTGTACTTCTTGACCTTTTACCAACCACGACCTTGATGTTATGCCATGCATATCATAAGCGCATAGTCTCATGATGGTGATTATTTGTGCCAGGTTATATAAAATCTTCCATAAAGTAAAAAAAGTTATGGAGAACATATGACCTTGACCTTGGGGGTAGCAACCTAGATGTTGAACTCTGCAGATTGTGTCATGGAGCAACCCAATTATTGCGTTCTGCACATGAATCTTATAATGGCGATCAATTGTGTCAAGTTATTGTTTAAAACTTCAGAGGTGAAAAAGTTATGGAGCGAACACGAAATGAAGACATTTTAACATTATTACTTAAAGTGTGACCTTGACCTTTTGGCAAGCCAATTATTGCCCTCTGCACATCGTTTTATAATGGTGATCAGTTGTACCAAGTTTTTTCAAAAACTTTTTAAGCTGTTAAAAAGTTATGGAACGGTTACGAAATGTTGACTTTTAATATGAAATGAAGACTTTTAACATTTGACCTTTAAGTGTGACCTTGACCTTACGGGTGGCAACCCAATTATTGCACTCTGCACATTGTCTCATTAGTTTGATCACTTGTGCCAAGTTATTTTAAAGAATATTCAGCAGTTTAAAAGTTATAGAGCCAACACAGAATGTAGACTTTTTATTATAAAATGAAGTGTTTTTAACATTTGACCTTTAAGTGTAACCTTGACCTTGGGAGTATTTACCGAATTATTGCGCTCTGCACATCGTCTCATTATGGTGATCACTTGTGCCAAGTTATTTAAAAAAAATAAAATCAGCAGTTTAAAAGTTATGGAGCGGACACAAAATGTAGCTTTCATTATGAAATGAAGACATTTAAACATTTGACCTTTAAGTGTGACCTTGACTTTGGGGGTGACAACCCAATTATTGCGCTATGTACATCATCTCATTATGGTGATTACTTGTGTCAAATTATTTTTAAAAAGTTTTAAGCAGTTAAAAAGTTATGGAGCGGACACGAAGTGTAGACTTGTTTTTATGAAATGAAGACTTTTCAACAATTGACCTTTAAGTGTGACCTTGACCTTGGAGTATTAACCAAATTATTGCGCTCTGCACATCGTCTCATTACGGTGATCACTTGTGCAGTTATTTCACCTTTTTTTTAGCGGTTTAAAAGTTATGAAGCAGACAAGAAATGTAGACTTTTATTATGAAATAAAGACATTTTAACATTTGACCTTTAAGTGTGACCTTGACCTTGTGGGTAGCAGCCCAATTATTGCACTCTGCACATCATCTCATTATAATGATTACTTGAGCCAAATTATTTCAAAAAAATTTCAGTGGTTTATTAAAAGTTGTGGAGCGGCCACAAGTGTTACAGACGAACAGACAGACAGAAGGACGGACTGACAGAGGGAGGCCATTCTTATAATCCCCTTCCCGCTACGCGGAAGGGGATTGACAATCATCTCATTTAAATGTAATCATCAAAGTGATTATTACTTGTTCCATGCTGTCCATCTTGAACTGTTTCATCTCTACATCCTTCTTCAGTCGTGTTATCTGGCCTTCCAACTGCTCCACCTTCTGCAACGCCTGGTGCGACAGGTCCGACTTCCATTCCTCTGCTGCCCAACTCATCTTCTCAAAATTTTCTTTAAAATAAATAACAAATACAAGTTTAAAACATAGTCACAGAAGCAGACATGAACAGGTGTATTCTTGTGCCAGTTATCTTCATTATAATGGTGGCTACTGAACTATATATATGTGATCTAAACCTTTGTCAGTAAACAATGGCATTTCCAATAACAAATCATACTTTTTCCCCATCTGAAAAGCATCAAATTTCCAATTGTCAGTCTACATGTTATTGTTGAGAATCGTTTTAGTTCTGTTCAAATGGAAATTACTTGAAATTATTTTTCTATTCAAGGAAATATGTACACATGTTAATTGCATTGTTCAGCAGACTAGGTTCCATTGAGTTTCACAGTCTACTGATATGTTACACATCTGTCAATAAATAAAGGCCAAATCGGCAAAAAAAAATATTTTTAGCACTGGTGACAGTAAAGTAGAAGACTTCACAATTGATGTTTCTAGACATTTGTGCTAAGTTATTTTAAAATTCTTATTCTTCAATGCATGACAAAGTTACAGTCCAGACTTCAAACTCTTCTTGTGAGAATGAGTACTTTCAAACTTTAAGTGTGACCTACACCTTGGAGGTAGTGACATGGGTCTTATACGCGACACATCATCTGACATGATGTATAGACATTTATGCCAAGTTATTCTTAAATCTGATAAAGTTACAGTCCAGACATGAATCTATGGAAATAAAATAGTATACAATAAAAATTGTACAAAAATAATATTTTATCTTCATCAAAGAAGGCTTTTTCCTAACCATTTTGGGTAAAAGTACTTTTCCCAGTTTTGGAAATTTTGCGGTGTTAAACTGCTTTAACAATAAGGAAAAACATTTGGTACTTTTTGAAAATGCTCTTTTCACACAGTATTTTGATTGTGCAAAATTGTTTATGACAACCGATGCAAATATTATTCAAAGCATAAAAAATACATTAAAATTTTACAATGAAATGTGAGGAAACATATATCTGATACCATACTGAAATGAAAACCAGCAAATTTGTCAGTAATGGTATCAAGAATATCAGTTTAATTGGAAATTTTTAAAGATCGGGAAGAAAATAAGCATATTTGCCATTGGGAAATATGACCCATGGTGACACTGAGAAAAGGGCATGGCATGGAATGCTTTTGGTAAACACAAATGCCCCCGACCCAAAATTTCAGGAAAATTTACAGATCCACTCATTTATGGCCAAAAAATTGTAAACACACTTGTATAACTTGCAGTCATGACTTTTACTTTTTGTGAAAAATGTAAGTGGGCATGTCATTGCTATTTGATGAAGGGCAATAACTCTACCTAAACAGAATTTTTCCACATGCAAAACCCCAGGTAAACAACTTAAAATGCTGATCAACATTCCTGTCAAGTTTGATGAATCTAGCTCAAGACCTTAATGCCTTGAAGAATTTTTCTATGAAACTACAACAAAACTTGTTTCCAGATATGTCAAATTCTCGATCCAAAATGAAAGTTAGGAGTGCAGCAGATAATTGTTCCCTTTTGTTTTGGTATTGAGTATTTTCATTGGTCTGATGTTTTCATATTACCAATGAAAATACTCAGAAAATATCCAAAAAAAATATGGCGGCCTCCATTACTCAATACAATTTAGACATCTCTCGCTGTGTTTTGAATTTTTAGTCTGTAATTTTCACAAAAAAAAACCCAACAGTCACATCTATGTTGACATGCACTTGCGGTTTTACATATCTTGCGGTTTTACATATCTTTCTATAAATAACAGCTTTATTTCCTTTAACCTGTTAAGAGTTATCAATTTGCTATCATTCCGTAAATTTCATAATAACATTTCTTAATCTTAATTATTCAAAGTACGTTTTAAATGATTATATTGAATTGGGTTAAATCGTCACTAATCTGAGTCGAGACGTTATCGGGCGAATCGTCAATGGGGCGAATCGATATCAATTCGTGACACGGATTCTGAAATATTAATATCAAAATGCAACGTTATTTTATTTATGAGCATTACTTAATGATTACATAGTTAGTTTTAAAATACTATACACATTCGAAACCGCTAAACATGTAAATCTTAAAGCAAACAATAAAACTTAACCCAGGACGAGGCCGTTTATTTTTGATTTTCATGATTTTCGAAATATTTAAAACCAGCATTCTTTTTGTTAAGATACTTGTAACAAAATCAGAGGGTTTGAAAGAAAAAAGTAATGTTGTTTCGGCAAAATGTACCTTATTACCTTCGTTAGTAGGACATTACATTTAAAATTTGTTTGGAGTTTTCCAAATTTTGACGGACATCCTTTGAATTTCGCTCTGTTTTAGTGCGCATGCGTATTGACTGGGTGGGTTTACAACATTTATTCTAAAATAAATAAAAGGGTAGGCAGTCTGAATTTGTAATTATTCGTCCACATAATTTTTGAATTTTCATTTAAGATATTTTTCGAACTGAAAAATGTTCGTAATATTTTCTAAAATTCCACCTTCAGTTTTAGTTTAAAAATATTTTTTAATTTATATATAACATAATCATCTAGTTTAACTCTTTGTGAACATGTTGAATTTTGAAAATAGAGTAAAACAACTGAGACTTATATAGATCAAAAGCATAAGATTTTTTTCCTCAACTTATATGAAAACAAACTTTGTTCCGATATCTGATTTACACAAATACAACACTAGATCAAAAATGATAAGATATTTTTTTAATTCCTCATTATAATTATTAGACATGTAATGGCACTTATAATTTACATGTATAAAATGGAAGATTGGAATATAAGGATCTTAAAAAATTAATGTGAAATGTATAACAAAAACAACTTGTACAAAACATCTGTTAAAAGCCATCTTGCTAAAAGCTGGACCGCACACATCAAAGTGATTTTCTTCATTACTGAATGGCATCATAAGAATTAACTCCACCTTTCATTCTATTCTTAGTCATCTTAATTATAAATGCGTATAATTCCTGTTTCTTATTTTCTGTATAAAATATACCAAGACTGTAAATAAGGCTTGTGTTTCTATAAAAAAACAACAATAGCATATATCTCCGTTTTCAAGACTTACTGTGGAAAACTCTGTGCCAGATTTTATTTTCTATACATCTTAATGGCTTAGAAGAATACTTGTCTCGCAATAATCAAGGCATTCTTGCATTGATATTGAAAAAAACGACGACTATGTCCTTATGTTTGTATTGTTATATGCAGACGACACTATCATTATGTTTTTTTGAAACTTACTTAATGATTTTAATCTGTACATTGCTTAGAATGGAAAATAAGCATGAATATTTCTAGAACTAAGATTATTGTATTTGGAGCTACTGCAAATACACACAAGAAAACTTCAAATTCAATTTAGAAGGTTTCAATGTTGAAAAAGATAAAGATAATAAATATTTAGTTATTCTTTTTTCTGCCTCGGGTTGTTTTCTAAATAACCGTACACTGATTGCAAAAATAACATTTCAGAAGTTGTTGAACAATGTCATTACTGTCCCCATTTACATGTACTACAGTAACTGCTGTATGAGTGTAGTGTCCCCATTTGTTCTTTGGTGGATTTTCAGTTAGTGTTCTTAGATTAGGTTTACCACAGTCTTAAATTGTATCCTTGTCCACAATCCACGAGAATCGATCCGTGTTTCATACACACTTTGTCTTATTCATTAGCAAATGTGCGGTTTTCCACGGGTTTGCATGACCATAAACTTCTGATCTTTTATGGGCTTTGATCATAACGCACGCACGGCAGGTAAATTTTACCAGTACCTACAGAACATGAAAGCCTGTACATCCGTGAAGTCTGGCCAGGCTGTATAGTGCATATCCATCTGTGAAAACTTATAGCACAGTAAGTAAACGAAATCAAATTTTAAGAAATAAATTAGCGCATACGGTTGCTACGACATTATACTTTAACCAGCATTACATTTTTTTATCTGGAACAATAATTACATGTTTACCTTTTTAGATCATTCGTGAGAAAGACAACATAATTACTATTATGAAGGTGACCTTTGTGTTTCGTCAAATAGATATGTATATATATTTTTCATATTCTGTGTATACCTAAGACATTTGTCAAACTACAAGTGTCGTATATACCGGATATTGAATGAGTGTAAGTTCAATACTGAATTTATTGCACGAGTTGAATAAAATTATATTATGCGAGCCTTTGGCGAGCATAATATTATTTTATTTAACGAGTGCAATAAATTCAGTAATGAACTTACACGAATTTAATATTCTGTTTATCAAAGCGAAAAGCGTAATATGACACGAGTAGTTTTGAAAATGTCCACCGAATATAAAAAATCATAAAGTAATACGTACTTTATTTTATTTAAAGATGTCAACGAAACTAAAAATCGCAATCAATACGCTAGTCAGGTCGTCATTTCACGAATGATCTTGAAAAATAAATATTTTCATGGAAATATTTTTGATGAGGTTTAAAGTATAATGTCTCAGCAACCGTATGAACTCATTTATTTCAATTTGGTGTACAATAAAAAAATATTGGACCATTTACTTAACGCGGTGCTCGTTTTAGCCACTTAATTGCACAATTCTGTGTTACTTTTGCACAATTCCTGTGTTATTTTATTTTTATTTTGTATTTTTATATCAAAATCTGGACTTTCCGAGTTCAAAGCAGGCCAAATTCATATTTGAATTGACCGCCAATTTCAAGTTGTAAACGAGGAATTTTATTGTGTAAATCTCTTTTCTTTCGAACAATACATTTTTTAAATTTATTTATATTTCATCCTATTTAGAATTATTACAGACAAGTTGGCGCAGGAATTCACTCCTTTTTTCTACCAGATATGCTACTTGGCGTAAAAACTGGCAAATGTAATTTGAATGTGGCTTTTATTTAAAGGATCGATGCTATTTAAAGGTGAACTATATGCCTATAAGCGTGAATAGTTTAAAAAGTTGAGTTAAAATCGATTTTTAAGGGTGAATGATATTTGAAGGTGGCTCTTATCTAAAGTGTCGATGCTATTTAACTTTTACCTAGATGAAACAGTTTTTTCCTACCAATATTGAATAATTCATCTGTAACAAATTTACAGATACAATGTGTTATTAGATCAATTTATCATCAGTATATTCAACAGTTTTATTCTTTACTTAGTAACTCACCAAAACTAGAAACATATTGTTTGATAAAGACAGATTTTTTTTATCAAGTATGTTAATCACAACACTGCATTATCTAGCCTAAGATGGTCCGCTCATAATCTACTTAGAAGATGGAAGGCATGGAAGTATTAACAGTAGACTTAGAATATGTATGTATGAGTAGTATTGAAAACGAATACCATCCTGTTTGCTCTTTTTATAGGGAAATAAGAAACGCATGGTTGCCGAAAGTTTATTGTCATTGACCTAATTCAAACAAATTTAAAACATTATTATCTTGTACTAAGAGTAACATTTTAGAAGGAAAAAAAAACAACATATTTTATTCCAGAACATACATGTATTTTTTGCGGTGCATACACAGTGACTTTCTATATATGGTAATTTCTCGTGTTTAAATGGTAATTGTTTTGGCGGTATTTATGCATGATTTTACAGCTCGAATTCGCTATTTCTTTCATAATCTGTTTACATCAATATTGACAAATATGGTTGTCGATATAATTCTTATAAAAAAACACTATTTATCGCCTAAATATTTCACCACCTAATCAATCACACATTCGCATTCAACAGGTTAAGTCTGAGACAACATAGTCGTGATTAGGGTAATAAATCAGCAATGGAAAAATATATATACGATATATACAAATGAGCCAAAATTGTTTAAAATTTGGCGAAAGAAATTCAGAGTTTCAAACATACATGTAGTTTAACTTTTAATTGTGCAAAACATTATACGTGACACACTATAAAAATATATTGAAGTAAAAACCATACTGACAATTAGAGATTCGAACTAGAAAAAACCTGCATGAGATCTTTATAATCTGAACTCTCTAACCACTACTCTACACGGATGTACGTGTCTAAATCCACGTTTAGGCCGCTATTCCATTTATACGTGATCAGTGGTCCGCGTCAGTGATCCGTGTCCGGGCATGTCCGTGGGTATTATTCCATAGGTACGTTATTTTCTATATATTTTTAATTGAAGTATAGCGAACAGAGGATAATTATTTATAGAATTTTATATAATTTTATTCTAATACTAAAAACAGTTGTAACATCAAAGAATTAGGTAACAAACATTGAATATCAGTTAGGTTTTCAAATAACATCTCTTTAGCAACCAATGACCAGATGTTGTTTTTTTAATCTGTCATTGCTGCATCATAAACTTATATGTTCTCCTACACTATTTTGGTGACTTCTTTAGTATTTTCTCTCGAAATCGATAAAGTATTTAGTTTCGTTCGAGGCATTTTGTAGGGATGAGACATGTCAGCGACTGTCCGCGTCCGTAAAAAATCGCTCATCCTGCGAAACGTCGCGGATGCCGTCGCGGAAGCGGATGGTAAACGGACAAAAGGAATAGATTCAACGTATTCTTTGATTAGCGAATCGGTAACGGATGCGGATGACGGACGCGGACCACTGATCACGTATAAATGGAATAGCGGCCTTATTCTTCTATATTGCAATAAAAATGCAATATCGTATAATTGAAGAACTTGAACAACCCATATAATGGTAGACATATAGGCATTGCTTACCTTGTTTTACGTTATGTTTTTCTTTAAAGGTGCTTGCATGAATGCAGGTGTATTTTGGAGGATAATAAATAATTTATGTTCGTTTTAGAGGATCGAATAAGAGCATAAATGCTATATAGATTCAGCTATATAGTATATACACTGTGGAATTGGATTAGAATGAAATATATCAAGTATTATTTTTGACAAATAATGAACGAGAAAGACTGCTTCCGTTTGAAATTTTTATTAAATCTTCTTGTTCGCAGACATAAACTTTGTCGTAAAACCATAGACATGCCTTGCTTGAACTATTTAAATGTATAATGATTAAGCACAATATGCCTAATTACGTATAATTTCACGCCGTACGTGGTTTCCTCTTATCTGTGACCAATTCTGAAATAAGAATAAAAGGTATTACACATGCACATGTCACATATGAGTTTATACATTATAATATAAACAATTTGTTGAATTAAAATGTGTTGTTATGATGTTCGTTGAATCATCAAGCACGTAATTTTGTCGTGTATTTACATACGGAGCTATAAAGACTCAAATTATCAGTCTAGTTATTTCCACGTCTGCTCCCTATACTTATTAAATAAAATGAAAATCACAATGGAATGGACAGATATAACACCGGGTGTTTCCTATACATACATGTACTTTAGTTTCATATTGTAAGTTTCACCAAGAACATTTTGTTATTTTTTTGTGCGTCTCCTTCATCGAATGAGTAAACATGAATTCATACACTGATATAGATTATACCCCACGAACTCACTAACAATGTAGTCTCTATCCTTGGAATTTTCACAACGAGAACTTGAATGCTGGCGAAAAGTTATTGGACATTTGTAGTTATTGTTCAAGATATTAAACATTATTGTTCAAGATATTAAACATTATTGTTCAAGATATTAAACATTATTGTTCAAGATATTAAACATTATTGTTCAAGATATTAAACATTATTGTTCAAGATATTAAACATTACTTTTTTTCAAGATATTAAACATTATTGTTCAAAATATTAAACATTATTGTTCAAGATATTAAACATTACTTTTTTTCAAGATATTAAACATTATTGTTCAAGATATTAAACATTACTGTTCAAGATATTAAACATTACTGTTCAATATATTAAACATTATTGTTCAAGATATTAAACATTATTGTTCAAGATATTAAACATTATTGTTCAAGATATTAAACATTTAGCTTGAAAAATTAAATATTTGAATATGATCGCCTACATGTATAAGAAAGCGAGAAAATCATTTCCAAAAAAAAAAATGCATGTATGCAAAAATTTACCATAACTATATGTCCAGATTATGCCAATCCCTTAAGATGTTTCCTACTCCATAAATTGTGAGCGCACATCTTCAATTTGTTAATCTCGCTCTGAAAATGTACATTAATAATTTTATGTTTTAAAACAGTTACATTAACGTGTTTTTATGATCAATTTAAGCATCTTTTGTATCAATAAACAAGCGAAATTGCATCATAACGGACCGCCGGCATAACAAAACAACTCCTGACGTTCACGTCACATTAACAAAAGCTTGAAACTTGCTCTTGATTTTAAAGACAAACGCATCGGAAGAAGAATATTGTACATTGTGCAGATTACTCCTATAAAGCATATGTGACCAAGTATAAATCTAATAATAACAAAGCTCTCCCAATCTATGCTAAAATCAATGTTTGTCATTGATATAAAACAATCTACATGTATAATGTAATCTAATGCCATGAAAAATATTGAAATGGTTTAAAGTTGCTAATATGTGAGCGAATATAGTAAACACTGTCCGCAAATATTCAAATTTTTTATGCAATGTATTTTAATTTCACTATTAGTTTTAAGTTAATTGGTTTTCAAATTGTTTTTTTACTAAACTTGACGTGTCACAGAAATACAAAGTGACCGGTTTGATCATTTCCACCTTTAAGCTTAAAACATTTGAAATTCTTGCTTAAAAGAAATTCTTAAAATTGCATAAACAGACTGCAAGGAATGATAAAGAAATATTCTCTGAATTAAAAGATCGATTGGAGTGAAAAGCGTTGCAACGTTTTTCACTTTTGGGTCATTTGCACCATATGAATGATGATTCTTGAAAAAACAGATGGAGGGAATGATCTGAAAAGTTACACACAGGTTATTGGTCATAATTTAAACCTACATTAAATGGTTTACAAATCTTGGGGAAATATTTTAGTCCCGCCGTGTCAAAAAAGGGGAAAACCATCAGTGAATTCCCTGAAATAAGGGTATAAAAAGGTTAGCCACTGTACAGAATGAGTAAATTATTAAAAACTTACTTGTATAAGAGCTTCTAATCTTATGTGGAACTGTGAGTTTGAAGAGCACCATTTTGGCGCCATTTGAAACGTTGACAGCAAATTATTGGCACTACGTTCCGAAATCCCTGTCTGTATGTAGTCGTCTGTCAAGAAGAATCTGTCGACATTTCTTGATGAAATTGTTAAATTCCAACAAAGAGCGTTGACCAAACCAGTTAGGTAGATTGCTTTCCATGTACGTAGCATTCTAAGGGATAAAAGAATTACAATTTATAATGCGGGTAGAAATGTTAATTATGCGCGTATTCTTCCGTCGAGTATTAAACGAACATCATGTACTGACGTCCAAAAGCCTGAAGAAATAAAGTTTAAATTTCTTACACAGATAAGCTGATGTACAGAAAGATAATTCTGCATAAGATAATAAGGAATGTACGATAGTTCTATCTTAACCCAATTTAAGTGATAGGCCTAAGTGTTGTAACGCTATTTGCAATTTTGGGTATTTTTCAGTTTTGAATATAATTCTCTGGAATAACGGAGTAAGCAAATGATTTGGAAATTTGCAAATACAAAATGTAATTTATTGGTCTAGATCTACATCAATTGGAACATTAATGTCGAAAAATCTCAGTGGGATTGTGTAATGAAAATGTTTCGTACATATGAAACGTATTTTTGAAACTCGACTGACAATACAATAGATATACGATTTATTCAGTTTTCTTTATTAACTATACCAATCCATCCGAATAAATAAATAAATTCCCGTAGGAGTAGTGTGCTTCCATAGCAACAAGATTGCGTATGTGCCGTTATCTATGACTGTTTAACTTCTTTTACTTTAACTGGGAAATTAACGCAAAAATTAAAAAAAAATCGAAAATGCAAAACACATGATGAAATATGAATTCGGATATTACCTTAGTTCATCCACAGTTGTTCAGCTATTCCACACTTAAGTTTGTTTTTACGTTTATTATATACATATTGATAAAAGTCCATATTTAGATAATTTCAATGTTAATAAGGAAGTATCATACTTAAGTATGTATTTAGATTCACTTATCACTAGATGGCACATACTTAATCTTATTATAAACCTATTTGCAACCTACGTAAAAACTTAATGTCTTTATCACATATTTATTTCCCATTCCTTTCGTCAAATTAGGTACGGAAATAACAGGAACTGTTATAACTGTTTTAGCACAGATTTGAATTTGTGAATATTATTCTCGTTAGCGCGTAAGCATTTATCTGGTTGTCGTCTCCTACCTGATAATTCCCACGTTAAAAGTTCTGTTGAGGTGATATTAAACAAGAGTTCCATGCTGGGCCTTATATCGCTCACCTGATTGTTAAGGCTCATAATTAATAATGTTAAGCAATAAATGAAAAGCAGGTCAAATGTCATTACGTTCATATCTGCACCTGAAATAGTGCAAATGTAAACATGGTTTTCCATATTTTGACTGTGTCACATATTTTATTACCTCAGATGACCCAAATTCAACTTGAGATCCTTTAAACAACCTTGCTGACAAATTTCCAGGATATTTGGACTGAAAATATAACGTTTTTAAATATTCGCAGGGTTTTTCCATATTTGGGCTGCATTACCTAGTTTTTTTTACCCCAGATGACTCAAATTCAGTTGAGCTATAAATTAAGATAACAATCCATGTTCGAACTTGAGCAAAAAATCATCAAACAACCTTTCTGACCAATTTCCATGATATTTGAATCAGAACAGTAGCCTCTAGAGATTTCATATTGAGCTGTGTGACTGTTTTTGACCACAGGTGATCCATGTTCGAACTTGAGTTAGAAAGGATCTAAACAACCTTTCTAACCAATTTTATGAATATTTGGCCTATATAGTCTGAACAAAGTTTTTCTTTATTTGGGCTGTGCAACATATTTTTGACCCCAGGTGACCCATATTTATACTTGAGCTAGAAATCATCAAATCAACCACCCTGGCCAATTTCTAGGATATTTGGACCAAAACAGTGTTAATTAAATTTCTCTCTCTTTTTTTGCTCCTGTGATCTAGTTTTTCATCCGAGATGACCCATGGTCTAACTCATCCAAGCAATTTACTGGGACAAACGTCCTGACCACGTTTAGTGAAAATTGCGGCAAAAATGACTACTAGAGTGTTCAGAAACTAAATGTGGCCAGACTACGGACATTTTTGAAACGATCCTTAAAAAAACAAACTAAAAACAAAAAGAAAGAAATAATCCCATTGTAGTCTTATTCGTAAAGAAATTTAACTTTGTATCAATAGATCTTGGAAATTTCAAGAAATTTGCTAGTAAATTGTATCCCATAATGCAATAACAATGAAAATTAATCTAAGCTGGTTTTAAATGCATTTATTCCATAAAATCAGATCTAAATACCTATTCTGGTACATAATAATATGAATTAGGGGTGTCATGGTTAGAAAAAATGCAAACCATTTAAACGGCGACATAAACTTTGTTTTTTATGACAAGATATGCCATTTTGTTCATATTTTGCTGTACTCAAATGATTTAAATACATATCTGAATACGGAGTAACTATTTTCCGCTAGGTTCGAACCGTATTCGATCAGATAGGAAAAATTACATTGTTGGGTACTACTAACTTTTCTGTCCTTAGTCAAATACTAACCTAGGCTACCTGTTATTGAATTTTATAACCGGTTTTAGTTTTAAACCGACAGTACCTGTTTAAATGGATAAACATAACACCCCTTATAAGGATCTTGGGTATATATCAATTTTTAATATCATAAAAAAGAAAACCTTATACATTTGTACACTGATGAGTGGTTCAATTCTTTCATTCGCTCACAAACAAATTCTCAAATATTTTTCATTCAATAACTTAAATGTATATATTTATAGTCAAATACTGCATAATCAAACTGGTTCCTGATACAAAATAAATTCATAAAATATTTGAAAAATTTATAAAATGTAAATGAGATATTAAAAACGGTAGATTAAAGATAATCTTTGGCAGTTCTGATTAAAACTGTTTGAGGTAGTTGCCACAATTCAAACTCACACACGCTAGACTAGTTCCATATCCTAGTTCACAACTATTTCATTGATTATCATAAAAAAGCTTAGAAATCTGAAAAATCATTGCCAGCTAAGAAAATAAATCATACATCATTAAAGGGACTCCACTGAGGTCCAAAAGACTGAAATATGTGGACAAAGTTTTCACTCTGAGAGTGTAAAAATAGTCGTAATATTGTTGAAATAGTTAGCTTAAAATATTTTTTTTTACAATGAAAATAAAATTTTTGACAATAAGTAACCAAAGAAGAATTTTTCACAAAATGTTATCAAAAAAGTATATTTGATAACAGATAAATGAATCAAAAACAACTTACATAAGGACTTACACTGCATTGTAAGCTTGTAATATAACAAACATGATTCTTTCATCAAACCAACAAGATAAAATACAAACAAAGTTCTTGACGGACAGTGCAAGTGATTAAGTGCAGTGTTTGACAGAAAGGATAACTTGGATACTACAGGCATTTTTGTTGATTTCACTAAGGGAATAAAATAGAATAACTTTTATTTCCAATCAAAGGTCTTTTTAAATGACATATAAATCACAAAAATAATGAGATCAACGATTAATACAGGAAAGAAAATAAAGCTGGATTTGTATTAGCATTGACTATGAACTGAAAAAAACTCTTTATTTAAGTTCATTTAATACTATTTAAGAACATGATTGGTGACATGTCCAGGTACAGGTACTTTCAGTGCCTAAAAGGGCCAATGTACCCTTATTAAGCTTAGAACACACATGTATAAGTTGAAAATCTTCCATCATAATCTCCAGCACTTTTCAATTTATCTATAAAGTGTATTTTAAAATTTCTCAATAGTGTTTTTGTACTGTAACATATAAATTCGTCTCATTATATTGACTTTCAGATATTTTTAAATATTTTAGCATAAACTTTAAAGAATACACTGGATAACCAACTTTATTACAATTTTACACTTGTACAACCTTTTACTTTAAAGGTAAGCATTCTTTAAAAATTCACTCACTGGAAATTTGGTTAACTTTGTATAATATTTATTGAGAACTTGTGTTGGTTTTTGATCTTTTTATCCTATAATATTTTTTTTATAATACAATGTACTGCACATTGAAGCGTGGCTTTTCATTGGATAATCATGACGTTTATATAGTTATATATACACTGCTGCTGTAAATTTTTGAAGAAATCTCACCTTTTTTTCCCTAAACAAGGAAGATTGCTGTTTTCTGAGAATATAATGAGCCATTGTGAAAATATTACTAGTAAGTTGCACTTAAAACCTCCACCAATTTTTGAGACAATACTGAAAGCTTGGGGTGAGAAAAAAGCTTAGCTTAGCTTAGAAAAGTTAAGCTAATAGTATTTTCAAAATTACATTCTAAAAAAAAATAAAAAAAAATTACATCCTGTTAAGGAAATGACTTAAAATATCTTTTCTTTTTCATTTGGCACAAAACTAAGAACAAAACACAATATTCTCAAAACATAAAATCATAAATTCTTTTCACCAAAACGATGAAATACAATTTAATATAATGCCGCTCCTACATCCCACAAAAAATAAATTAATAAAAAAATCAGCATATCAATACACTGTACATTATAATCAGCCAATTTTTACAAAACATCCAAAATTCATAGTGGTGTAGTCAGAAACATCATAATATGTGTATCTATTAAAATGAAGATGCACAAAAACACAATTTTAACAACTGACTCGTCAACAAATCAAACATTAACCAATAATTTGAGTAATTCAGAAATAACAAAAAAAAAATATTATGTCAACATACAGCAAAGCTAATTATTATATAGACTATTACAGTCAAACCTGTATTATAGAGCACCCCCTAAAAACACCATATATACAAAAACACAGCACTAAATACCAAAAGGTAAAAACTGACATTTTTAGGGGGAAACTTAAAGAAAAAAAGAGGGCCATGATGGCCCTGAGGTCGCTCACCTGTATATAGGCCCCCCCAACCCCCCCCCAATGTTGCAGGGCCAATTTAACCCAAGGGCTTTTATTTGCACAAACTTGGTAGACACCCATAAGAAGATGTTTCATGCTAAACATCTAAGCTCTAGCTCATTGGGCTTTTTAAAAGAAGATTTTTTTTAAGTTTTTACTATACACATATAGTTAAAAACAATGACACCCCTGGGGCCGGGCCAGTTTTGACCCCAGGGCTTTTATTTGAACAAACTTTGTAGACACTTACTAGAAGATGTTTCATGCTTAATATCTAAACTCTAGCTATTTGGGTTTTTTCAAAGAAGATTTTTTAAGTTTTTGCTATACACATATAAGGAAAATCAATGACCCCCGGGGCGGTGCCAATTTTGACCCCAGGGCTTTTATTTGAACAAACTTGGTAGACACCTATTAGAACATGTTTGATGCTAAATATCTTAGCCATAGCTCTTCGAGTTCTTTAAAAGAAGATTTTTTAAGTTTTTACTATATTCATATAGGGAAAATCAATGACCCCCCGGGGCGGGGCCAATTTTGACCCAAGGGCTTTTATTTGAACAAACTTGGTAGACACATATAAGAACATGTTTCATGCTAAATATCTTAGCTCTAACTCTTTTGGTTCTTTGAAAGAAGATTTTTTAAGTTTTTACTATATGCATATCGGGAAAATCAATGACCCCCTGGGGCGGGGCCAATTTTGACCCCAGGGCTTTTATTTGAACAAACTTGGTAGTTTAAGTTTTTACTATATGCATATTGGGAAAATCAATGACCCCCTGGGGCGGGGCCAATTTTGACCCCAGGGCTTTTATTTGAACAAACTTGGTAGACACTCACTAGAAGATGTTTCATGCCAAATATCTAAGCTCTAGCTCTAATGGTTTTTTAAAAGAAGATATTTAAAGTTTTTTCTTTCGGTTGCCATGGCAACCAGAGTTCTGCATGGAATTAAATTCTTTGAACAATTTTTAAAGGTGACCACCAAAGGAACATTCCTGTGAAGTTTGGATGAAATTGGCTTAGTGGTTTATGAGGAGATGTCATTTAAAGTAAAAGTTTACGGACGGACGCCGGACGGACAGACGCCGGACGGACGCCGGACGAAAAGCGATCACAAAAGCTCACCCTGTCACTTTGTGACAGGTGAGCTAAAAAGAGCCATTATATAGCCCTGAGTGGCTCACCTGAGATATATTGCCGGATATGGTCAATTTTCTTTTATGCAATAGTGACTAAGTAATTAAATAACATTTGGGTGGTTTTTTTTAACCCCAGCTGCAAAATTGGAAAAATAATCACAGACATAATATCTAAGTTCTTCATATTTGGAAACTTAAGTATGTTTTACAATTTATGTCTATATAAACTAAATGACCAAAAGGGCAAGGCCATTTTTTGCTCAAGGGACATGATTAACAAAAGTTCTGAAGAGGACCACAAAGAGATGCTACATGCCAAATATCTGAGCTCTAGGCATTGTAGTTTCTGAAAAGAATATTTTCATATATTTCACTTTGAAAGTCTATTTTTATCTCTTGTGACCAACTTATGCACCAGACTGGAACTATTTAAATAACTTTTGTAGAGGACCACCTAAAATCAATTATCATTCCTGAGAGATATAAAAGATTTAGGTTGTTGTTTAAAGACATTGTTGATAGCATCCAACAATTGACAACTTTCAATCACCAAAGCTTAGCTCTGAGCACTTAGTGCCCAAGTGAACTACAAAGAAAAAGAATAACCCCTATTTCCCAAGCTTGGCCCTTATATAAAGGTTTGACTGTATTACATTTTAGTCACTATCTTGATCTTATGTATGTACATATGGCTTTGCATTTTTCATCAATGTCTTGATCTGTGGTTTCTGGTTAGCTATGTACATATGGCTCTGTAGCAATTTCACTGTCCATTTCATTCAATTTGACTGTTCCTCCCTTATCAAAGCTGCAAGTCTCTCAAAGGCCTGGAATCAATAAGTTTAAAACATTTATAAAACTTTTGGAATTCTAACAGCTTTTAAAATGCTACCACAAATAATAACTTGCCTGTACCACATTTCTAGGGCCAAACCAGCCCACACATCCATGCCATCTGATTATCTCAATGGTAAGTGATTTGAATATATATTGATAAGATTTGATAATTGAAATATATAAAAGTATACATAGATTTGTTGACTGAAAGACTATGTACAAGTGTTAATTGATAAGAATAATCAAAGTAACACTATGACTTGTGTAAGATAAAAACTGCTTACTGTATTCATCTGTTCTTCTGTACACAATGAGTAAGAAGCTCTGACGTACTGACACGGCTGTGCCTCATCCAGCTGAAATGCATTACCCGGTACAAATAACACTTCCTTCTCACGTGCCTTCACTGTGATCAGGTTGTATGTGTCTGGTACATTTAACTTCAGCCACAGAAACATACCACCTGAAGGCTCGTCCCACTCTGCCAGACCTGGAACAGGTTTAACTCAAGTTTATTCAAACTAATTTGCAATGAGCCGAGAAAAAAATAGTTCCTTTATCATCAAGGGTTTAAATCAAGCTGTTTTCCTTATACCTAACCTTTTATTTTTTCAAAGCATCAATTTTAGCAGTAATTCTTCCCAAATTCAAAGGGCAAAGGCCTCTTTCCATTTAAGAGAGAAAGTGAGAAACCTCCCTGAGCATGAATCAAAATGAAAGAAGTTGGTGTAACAAAATAATTTGTATTATGCCAATATTTAAGTGAGAATTTAACCATTTAGCAATGATTTCATGCATTTGCAATTTGCTTTTAAAGCAATTTACTAGCATAATAGTTTCATTTCCACATACTGGTATTGAAAGCATTCTTTGTTTAAAGCTCAAACAATATTTTTTATGCAGATTCATAGCTTTAAAGTGCCTTAAAAATATCAGTTAACATTATGTACATGGCCAAGTGGTTAACACGTCAGACTAGTAATCTAAGGATTGCTGACCACATGGGTTCAAAACCTGTCAGGGCCAAGCCATTGTTTCCTTGAGCAAGAAACTTTACATTTATTGCTTAGTACTGATTGGTTCCAGGAACAGATTTAAGAGTTTTTCAATAAGCTTATAACTTCCAACACAATCAAACTAAAATAAATTTGTTTAAACTAAAGCTAAACTTAACAAACCTGTAAGGTGTTTTTCAGCAGCTTTCAGACACATATATTTCTTCTGTCGGTAAAATTCTGTGACAGTTTCAACATGATTGTCAAACCCTTCGTATCCCCATTCTTTTAATATTAGCAATAAGGTAGCCTGAAAGCAAACAATTCAAAGTGTAGTGGGAAAATATCAAATATCTGAAAATATATTAGAATAGTGCGAGTACATGGTTATACAAATGATAGCAACTCCTTTGCCGAGAATTCAAGTTTCTTACATTGACTTACTTTTCTTGTGTATATTCCATGAAAAAAAAATCATGGCATAAAATAAGAGAAAGATGCAAAAATCAGAAGAAACTGTACTTAGTACTTACTTGGGACAGGGTACTTGCATGCATCACTGAAGCCTGCATATGTAAGGATATTCTGTCTATAATTGGTTTTGGACCTGTTACACAACCAAGTCTCATTCTGAAAAAAAAAATGTTTTCATGTGAACTATATTTGTCTAAAGTATAAAATGAAAGTTTTGGTATTAACTTGAAACAAAACCAACATTTGGTGGTTCATAAAGGTTATCAAGCTATCGGTATTTTCACTGGTGGCTATGCCATACACAAGGGACTTACATTATAACCAAAATTGTGTTTTTGAAGACAGGTGAGAAATTTTAAGTAAATAATAACTTCAGTTGTAATTAAGATATAAAGTTACTTTTACCAAGAGTTATACCAATGCTACTATTCTAGGTACAGTCAAGCTGAAAATTGATTTCATATGATAAAAGCAAAGTTTTTTAGTTTTGGTATAATTTCTTGTATGTATTTACTTCGTGATATGAATGTCAATTTGAAACAAAGAAATATTCCTACCAGAAACATTTGTTATACATTGTAACTAAGTTCTTACCCTGATGAAATTAGTTTTGAAAATGAATCAAATCTGATCACTCTACCTTCCACGTCCATTGACATCAGACTTGGTACATATGGCTGAAATAGTACAAATAAATATATATTTTCAGGTAAAGATAGGCGTTAAGTTGTGTGTGTTTTTTTACATTTTATTACAATCTATTAACATAACTACCTTAAATCCATATATTGACCCATGGAAGATACACAGCTAAGGCTCCCGCGTTTACGATTTTTTGTAAACGTTTACACGATTGCTAAGAACCAAAATGATACAGTTTAAACGGTGGCACTTTTTTGTACTATACTACATCATGTATTCAAGTCTCCAAATGATGACTTACTATTTATATACAAATAATTTAATGTTCAGGGCTCATCACGATTGAGTCCACACTGTATCCTCATTTCGCTCTTTTGAAAGATCAAAGGAAAATCAACTTTACCAATGTATTATGTCACGATTAGTGCACGGTAATGCTGTGCGTAGGGTTGTAAATACCTATTTTCTGTATTTTACTTTGGAATTAACCAATTACAATTGATAGAATTCATGATTACAGGCAATGATTAAGATATTTTGTAAGACAATATGGTCATTTCGATTAAACGTTAAAAATTATCGTAAACGTTTTCGACTGAAAATCAAAATGAATCCGTTTAAACGTGTAACCGTGGGGGCCTTATATTCAGCTAGTTTAAAGGAACATTGGCCTAATTCTACTTATGTGCCCAAAATACTGCATGGATAGGCATCTGAGACCTTTCATCGTCAGTAAAGCTTTAAAATATGGTCATATGACCTTTTTAGCATGTGTCATTGTATAAGATATCCCCAAATCATCATCAGAAAAGTCTCAGTCATAATATACTTCCTAGAAATGGTACCCGGTTAATTGCCCTTTAACTGGTTCCTCATTGTGTAAGATGTAAAGCACCTGAAGGCTGGTTCCACATATGTGTCTAATCTGACAGATTTTTAGTAATTTTAACTGGAGAAAAGGGCAATTGAACTAAGGTCCCTTATCTTCTTTGTCTGACAGAGTTACCACTGAATAGCACACCCATTCTAAAGACTTTAATAACTTCTTATTTGTCTATTAAAAACTTCCAAATCTAATGTCAAACAATATATGTTTAAGACGATAAACAGAAAATTACTCTATGAACTTTATTACACAAGGCCATAATAACATAATATTTCCATTTGAAATTGGAAGTTAAGAAGTTAATTTGTTATTTGTTTTTCACTCCTTTTATTTTTTTTGTCTTCACACTAACAATGTAAACTTTCAGCTGTAGTGATGAAAGAAGGCCTCCAGAGCCTCTTTGTGTATTATTTCAGTCACAAGGGGACATCTGAGTAGAACCACTAATCTTCTGTAAGCAAGCTGGATAGCTTCCTCTAACACCACAATCCAAAAACCATAAAGGGATTTGAAACCACAGTGGTGAGGTGTACCTAAATTTAGATCAGTGATCTTAACTACACAGCCCCTGAGGCCCCTTTCATCTCCCTAAGCCACACACAATTTATTTGGGGCTTTTTTCTGGTTTTTCTGCTAATTTTCACACATTTAAATTGATTTTTTTTTGTCATATCTCCGTGGTCCTGGATAACTAACTAGTAATTACCAATTTCTCCGCTAGAAACTGACTGCATATATCCTACATGATTTCTTACACCTCACCAGAGGATTGAAACAGTGACCCCTGCATTACTAATCTGTCTGATGCAGGAAATTATTAGCAAATGACTGTTAATACCATTTCAAGCTTTTCAAAAAAGGAGAGCTATTAACTATTAGCCTGACAGAACATTAACAAATTTTATTACTCAAAATCCTGTCCACTTTTATGAAAGCTGTTTTCAAAAAACACCTGGAAATACCCCAAAATATGCATACCTTATTGAATTGTAAGTAAAAATAAGGATCATCTTCCAATATTATAAGATTATACTTTTGGGCAATACTGTAGATTTTTCTCTTTCTCTCCTCTGTTAACCCATGCCCTGTTGGGTTCCCTCCATTCGGTATTAAATATAACAATTTTGGAATGTCACTGTCTGACACATTCCAATTTGACATCACATTTTCAAGGTCACTAGGGTCAAGGCCATTTTTATCGGATTTGATAGGAATCAATTCACAATCCATTGGCTTAACCTGAAAGTAAAAATGAGGACTATAGTATTTCACTGAAATTTATGGAAATGCTTTGAAAAATGCACCATAATTAATATAACAAATTTAGTATTCCAAAATGTACAGACAGTATTTTGAAGTCATTTTACAATACAGTGAGAATTTGATATCCTGGTGAAGGTATGACATTACAGACATAGTGTATCCATGGTTTACACATTATTTTTTTTATCTTTAAGGATACACATTATATGTTTATGTAAGTATTTAAGGTATACCACAAACATTTTTGACATGAAACATGTGAAAGGGCTTGAAATACTTTTTTGAGATTTGTGTACCATTCAATATAGATCTGAACTAATAACTTTCGATTATGTTGCGGTTCAAATTGGAATATCCATCCCAAGGGGACTCGTCCATTTGGCCGTAATGAGGCTTGTTGTGTTGCCATCATGATAGGGTACCCAAGGAACGGATATTCTGGCTGTCAATGGTAAAACAAATGAGCCGCGTCACGACAAAACCAACATAATGCGTTTGCGACCAGCATGGATCCAGACAAGCCTGCGCATCCACGCAGTCTGATCAGGATCCATGCTGTTCGCTTACAAACTCTATAACAAGTAGAGAAACTGATAGCGAACAGCATGATTCCTGATCAGACTGCGCAGATGCGCAGGCTGGTCTGGATCCATGCTGGTCGCAAACGCACTATGTTGGTTTTGTCGTGACACAGCTCAAAAATGATTTCGTACATCTACTAGAATTTTCTTGATTTTATAAATCAAACATAATTTTGAAAGTGTTTATTTAAATATATTATTAGTTATAAAGATCGTTGACAGGTTATATGGCCCTATATAAACGGCTATTTGTAAATATAACCCGAGCCGTTAGGCGAGGGTTATATTGCAAACAGCCGTTTATATACGGCCATATAACCTGTCAACAATCTTTATAACGAATTTATAATACAGCAAGCATCATTTTGTGGAGAAAAAGTAAGATATTGACAGCAGCCGTGTATATAAATCTATATAAACGTCACGATTATCCAATGAAAAGCGACGTTACAAACCTGCAGTATTATAAAACTCATTATAATTTGTCAATCTCAGGCATTTTCATCCTACCACCAGGAGCCAATATAAGGTGCCATTCCCAATCCAAAATAAGTCATTCTATTCACACTTTCAAAAAAAAATTACCAATAGCTGCAAAAAAAATCTAAGTCTTTCAACTTCTGAGAAAAAAATGAATTGTTTCAACTGGTTTCTTTAATGCAGCCACATAATCATACATGAAAAAAGTAATGTCTAAGGTAAATTTTCAACAATTTTTCTCAAATTTTCCAAAATGTGGCAAACTTTTCCCAGTTGAAACCAAGGGCCTTTTCCTAAATAGCTGGAAAATTCCCTGCTATCTTAGTCCGCAAAATATTAAGTTATATGGTGAGATAACGACAAAAATTGAGGATACTTACAGCTGCCAATGTTCCTGGATATGACGGTGTTTCTACAAGAACCTTGTCTCCTGGTGACACCATTGCATCAAATGACTGAAATATAGAAATGATTTAACCCCTTCAATTATATAGACATAGTAAAACAGACTTGTTAAACTTTGAAGATGGACAGCCCCGTCTCAAATAATATCAAATTGTCCAAAAACTTTGTGTACTTTGTCAGACTTCTTCCTAATGTACACTGAGTTAGATAAGTATTTGTTTGTTTGTTTAGGCGGTTTTAAAACTTTTTTGGTTATGGTATATCTCAACAGACATTCTACCTAACCTGGATAACTACATGTACTAAGTTATTACCAATTTTCCCGCAAGTGTCTGTCAATTTATCCTACGGTAAATTATTTTTCAATCAGCTGTCAGAGACAAATGACCACTGGACTCGAAATCCGAGATCAATAATATAATTATTGTCACAAGAAATTTTGCTTCCTCTAAGTATCAATCCAGTGATTTCTTAAATTTCCTAGTCCAATGATTTCCCTATTGAGCCCAGAAAGTATCTGCTGATGCTACAGTACGCTCAGCGCGGCTTTTTCAAAACCCGCGTGACCCAGCGAATGAGGTTTACCGCGGACGAAAATTTGCTCAAATATTGTCCGCGTGACCCCGCGGACAGAAAATTTTCACCACCGCGGACATAAATCGGCGGCTGAAACCGTTTCCCCCGCGGAACGCAGCGGTAAATTGCGGAGGAACGCGGCGGTCAAACACCGGTCAACGCGGTGGAAACCTTAAATTTTAAAAATTAATTACTGTATTTAAACATCAGTATACGTACGTACTGTAACATGTACTGTACATATAACTATATGTAAAATTTGTTTGTTTGTTTTCTTTTTTGTTGTAATAAAAGTACATGTACAAATGCAGTGTATTTCTTGTTCTTCTTCTTGTTATTGTGTTGGGTAATGTACAATATGTATTCGACATCAAGATAAATCATTGTCGTCGCAACTTCATGGTAGTGAGAAACTTGAAGTCAAATAATGAAAAATTCGGCATATGACATTTATGAAAAAGATACTACAACAATTTATATGCCAGCTTTTGTTTCTTATTTAAAAACTTTGAAAACGTAACCCTCAACAATTTATTCAGGCAATATTCCAGGACGTCTCTTTCAATTGTCAGATGCGTTTTACTGTTTCTGTTTATTTGCATGTTGATCATAAAGTCTTATATTTTATTTGGAACATTAAAAGAAAGCGTTTATTTCACCAAAATATACATTAAATGATATTCTTGATTTATCTAATTACAGGTGTGAGCGTAATGTATATGTTTTGAAGTTTGTATCAACTGTTGAAGTTTAGTTTCATTTTTGTTTTAGTAGCTTGTTTGTTTGTTTGTTCTTTTTTATTTTTTTTATAGATTTTTTTTGCAGAATTTTGTTAAACTTGACGTTATACTTTTTGTTATTTTATTATGAACAGCATGTACATACATGTATATAAGGCAAACAAGCACATGGCAGTTATTTTCTAAGAACTTCCATCGACCGATTTTCAAGTTAGAAATATTTCATTTTATTTTTATCTTAAGATATTATTGTTCATGGGAATAATAGTATTTGTAGACAACATGTAGTTTTAAGTACATACAATTGAACGTAATTGTCTTTGCTTTCTTGTATTTATTATATTAAGTTTTCATTGAAATTAATTCCGAGGATAATAATGTAATTTTATAATTTGTAAAAGGCAGCCTAATTATTATTTTTTAATGGGTGAATTTGTGTCAAACAAATATACGGTATGTGCAGTATACAAAAACTTTTTGGCAAGTGTCATGCATATTTCTCATGTCCATTCTCGACGGGGGTTTTACTGTAAAAAAACACAAACAAACAAGTCTACCCATTTTTAAAGAATATAATTGCATACAAATAAAATCTTATAGATGGTTTAAATATCTTTTTCTTTTATTTCTAGGATATGTACATGTATTTTATTTATGTCTTGTCTTGTATTCACACTCATCGACCTCTTACAGGACATGTACTGTAGCGTCAGTCATCATTGAGAAATCAGCAAAAATGTCCTTTTTGCGACGGACTAAGTCATCTACACATGGGATTTCGTTGGCTACACTCGCGCAATGTGTCCTAAACCGATTAACAGCCCAAGAAATAGTACATGAATTTGATCCTTCAAAACTCCCATACTTTGTCTGGATATCTTATTGTCTTCCATATTTATCCTTTTCAATTTCAAATTAAGTTATCCAAGTTAAAATATGAACGTATATTATTGATAAAAACGTTGTAGTCCCGTAGTATTATTGCGCAATATGCAAATTACTGCTGAAACGATTTACCGCTGTCGAAAAAGTAGGACAGCAAATTATACTACAATAAAGGTGTAACCTCTGAGTTCCAAGACAATATTAGTAGGAAATAAATATTTCTACATTATACAAAACATTATTATTAACAAATCAAAAGTTTTTCGTGACTCTAGGATAACTCGCGCATTAATAAAAGAAGAACTATTTTCGTGACTCATACCGCGGGTTTAGCTGAATATTCAGCAGTTATTAATATATTAGATTCTTTACAATAGTTAGTGTAAATATCTTTTTTTGAAAATGCATGTAAGAAGAGAGTTTTTCAACACTTTACCGCCATGTAGTCTTTCATGATAAGGAAGTGATAATATCAGTTCTACTTCCGATTCTTGTGGTTTGTCTACATATTTTTCTAGGTCATGATATGAATTAACCTTCGCTATTCTAAAAATAGATTCTGCTTCACCTGTTCTGATTTTTGGACTGGCGATTAGGGAGTACACATTATACTAGCCTGGGATTCAGGCGTTGATATTTTTTGCTTATTTATAACTTACACGCTATTTTGTACTCGATCGTCATAGATAACGCACAACATCTCTGGTTTTGATAGTGTCGATTTGCCGAACAGAAACACATAAAAAATCGACAGACTGGAACCCAGACTAACATTATACATGTAATTAATAAACCAGCGGATTACATGCAATACTTTTAGAAATTCTATACAATTGTAAGAAGCAAACAAGTTGAAAATGGAATTTAGTGTGAAATTGAAAAGGACAACTAAACACTGTAATGCTTAAGTGACATTTAAAATAAATTAAAAACGATGTGCTCCTCTACATCTTTACCTTGTAAATAAAAAAAATCTAAAAAATACACTATTAATTGCTGATGATTTTAACCAATTTTTTTTAATGAGACATTATCCAAGAGAAATAAAAATACAAATGACTTATATTTTATTGTCTATATGCCCACTATGATATAACACGAAGCAATTCTAAATAGCATTCTCAAATGTATAATGTATTATGTTTGAAGTTTATTTGCCTGGATTTATTTTAGAAATATTTCGTTGACAGATTTTTTTTCTATTTACATATCATTTCTTAGAATAAATCGATAAGGACACTGATTTACAAGTTTGAGTTTTTAGGCATGAATTTCATTCTGTATTTAAGTGCTTGAAAGTAGAAAATCTGAATTATATCAGTTTGGGACACAAAATATATTGCTCTACAAATCTCGAACTTGTATGGAACAAATTTTCTCTGTTATATATTTTGTGTTTTGTTTTTGTTTAAAAGAAGCCTTAATGTCTCTCCGGTTGCATGTCCGTCGCATTCAGTGCTGCAGCACTTTGATTTTACTAAGTATCATATTTATGGCTCCCATATAGTTTAACAGCAATAATATTTTGAGAACCACAAAGTGACAGTGATAAATGACGATTTCAGTTGTAAAAATATTGGTATGTGGACGAATAGTTTTGTGGACGTTTATAACAAAAATATTAAAAACAACAACAAAAACAGGTACAGCTGTAATTATTTTTATTTCAAATTCCGTTCAAAAAATTTAACGTATAATAACATTTAAGGAGACGATTGTGGTCAATTTTCAAGTCATTGTGTAAAAAAGATGACGTTAAAAAATAATAAAACGTCTATTATTTTTGGAGGTTAATTTATACTGACCAACTGACCTTGGCGTTCCCCCGCGGGAAACGGGTGACTGATTTTATCGACGAATGAAGAACGGTCGTCAGAATTTTGTCCGCGGTGGAAACAACTGAACACCGGGGATCGCGGGGGAAATTAGGCTTTCATCGCGGACGAACCCCCGCGTTTGTCCGCGATAAAAAAAAATCGTCCGCGGTGGTATCGCGGAAAAAGCAAAACCCGCGGTGAGCGTACTGTAGCTTAACAATTAATTTTATTTCATGAACAAATTCACTGTTTGAAATAATATTTGTTTTGGAAGAATTAGAAACTAAATTTATGATTTGGTATATCTTCAACTATCTGTATAGTCAATTCTGTCAAAATAATGGGACAAGAAAAAGCAACTACCTACTAGATAAGCTGCCTTATATTGGCATCCAAATGATAGGTGAGCGATAGACTAAATTCCTGTTAGAAGTTATACCAGTTAGCTTATATTTTTCTTATATTCACTTTTTTTTTATATAAAATACCCTTTTCACAAGGAAAAACAGGACAAAATGTTGGTGGTGAGTGCTCCTGATTAGACAAAGTTATAAGGTGGCACTAATCTTCACTTGCCAGTACCATTACATTATGTCCTAGGACAGATTTATAAATCAAAATTTTTGTAATAACAACCTTACATTTATGCAACAACAGGGAGATAGACCTTTTTAACTCATGTATACCAAGTAGTATACACTCTTTCTAAATACCTTGCAAATACCGTCCTGACTTCCATTCGTGATAAGAAGATCCCAGTTGACCCCACTACAAGGTGGCTTGTGAACACGTTCCTGCAAGCCTTTGACCCACTGGACTAACTCTGGGACTCTGAAATACAGATATAAATTATCAAAAATATTCAAATAAGAACCCTTCATAATATAAGTTAAAAGATTTGATTTTGAACTTATATAAATGTAATAATAATAAAAATAACTTTATTTTGAGAGTACATAATAAACATACAACTTATTTCCAATATGGCCTTCTATCTATTACAAACAACTGTATACTGCCATATAACCTGTCAGGAATCATGTTAACAAATTTATAATACAGCAAACTTCCTTCTTTTAAAAGAAAAAAAATGAGATTTCTTCATTAATTGACAGCAGCTGTGTTTATTAAACTATATAAACATCACAAATATCTAATGAAAAGCAACAAAAGTACAATATTATAAAGAAAATTATTTAAGTTTTCATACTGAAGTTTAAGAACACTTTTAATAATAGTAATTACTGCAGAACATTTCTCATCTCATTCTCTCAGTCTTTTAATATGCTATGTTTTCATTTTCACTTGAAGCTATTGTGTTTTCCACCAAAAGTTAACACATTTCAAATTTGATGGTCATATTTTGCCAAAGACTTGCCTGTCTGAATACAGATTTGTGATATAGTACATGTAATCTGTATGTACAAATTCAAACCTACCCTGGTGTTTGAGTGTACTGCAGAGCTTTCTTCATAAGTTCATGATCCATCTCTAGTTTTGTGCCATCACTAAATAAAAAAGAAATACAGTCATGTACATGTATATATAAATTCACTGTTTTATACTGTCAAATGACATAGTTTGAACATCATTTTCTTTAAAAATCAGATATTTTCTTAAACTGTTATAAACTTATTTAATATTTTGGATATGAAATCTGATTAAAATGCATCTCAGGAAAATGAAGATCTTGTCAAACTATTTGAATTTATACCTATATTAAAGTTATATGCAGCTGCATTGTGCATTGTACTCATCCTGCTATGTTTTTGAACATCTCAAACTGTTTATCTAAAACTGAATAGCTAACAACATAAAAAGGGTCATGTGAAGTTTAGTCATACCTTAATTTGAATGTTGCTGATTCAATAGGAAATGTGCCAACATTTGGCATACCCCCAGCCATAGAGATCATTGATGGCTTACTCTGCTGGAGAATAGCAGCTGAAATAAATACATGTATGAGACGCATCATGACAAAACCAACATAATGGGTTTGCCACCAGCATTGATCCAGACCAGCCTGCGCATCTGCGCAGTCTGATCAGGATCCATGCTGTTCGCTTACAAACCCTATAACAAGAAGAGAAACTGATAGCGAACAGCATAGATCCTGATCAGATTGCGCAGATGCGCTGGCTGGTCTGGATCCATGCTGGTCGCAAACACAATATGTTGGTTTTGTCATGGCACGGCTCAATTATACAGTGAACTCGCCCATTCCGAACCAGTCAAAAATGAGGATCATTTCCAAGCTTTTTAGGTCGCGAGCGTGCAGACGGCCACAAAAATCGTAAGTTATGTTTTAGGTTTATAATCGAAGCACTATACAATCAATTCAACGTTAGTAAGGCATAAAAATTATTCTTACATTATCTGTATTTTTAGTTTGTTAAAGTGTCATATTTTTCCCGTATGCGTAAATCTGTCGAATGAAAATAAAATTTTCAAAATGAAAAGGCGCTTGCATTTTAGTTAATTCCCGAAACGAAACAAAATGAACATTGATAAAAAGCAAATTTTATGTGCTTTCAAGCAATAATAATCACAATACAAATAATTTTAAAATTTAAACGTAAAAGGCTGTATTACTGACATCATGTTTTTTGTGTATTCCGAATCACCTTTTTTTCGGCGGCACGAAATACCCAAATACCGTACTACTAAATATACCCAAATATAGCAATATTTATTTTTGTTTGTATAAAATATAGATAATGATTATAATTAGAAATAAATATTTATAAAATAATATGACTTAGCCTGCTATAACTTTCATTTATTCTATTGAAATGGGCAGTTAAGATGTTGTAAGTTTTATAGCAATATTATAATAGTATTCTGCTGCTGCGTTGAAGATACATACATGTTTTTATTATTTTGACCATCAGTATTGACACTGACCACGATTATTTGATTAAAACATTGTTACGATATATGTATGATAGGATAAATTTCAATAATACTTATATTTCCGTGGTTTTAATTGATTTCTAGGCCCTTACGTAAAGTTAGACTTTTCTTCCTTTTTTGTGACTTCTTTATTTCTTCGGGAATTTAATGTAAACTTCAAAAATATGTTTTATCAACACTTACATATAATATTTAATGAGATTTAATTAAAATGTGTAGCTCTTGTATTTTTAGAAGTATTTCCATTTTGAACTTATTTTACACTATATGAAAATTGTTATATATTTGGACCGCCTCAGTGGTCGAGGGGTTAAGAGTCTATGACTTTATTACCTCGATCCCCGGGAGTTGATTTGATAGTTAAGCACCGAGGAAGGTAATCTAGTACTGGTGTAACTTTGCAGGAACGATGGTTAGGATACTACCCGCCTATATGACTAAAATACTAATGGGAAAAGGCGTAAAATGAAACAAACAAACAAAAAATATTTGAGTACTTTATTAACTCATAATACAGATGTTTTTATCATTCATACAATTTTTGTCTCTTGTATCTAATTAACAAGAGCACTGTCTAGTCTGACAGCTCTTGCTTAAATTTACCTGTCTATAACCTGCCAAAAGCAGGGGATTCTTAAACATTATCCTATTGCAATGTATTTGATTTTTGCAAAATAAAATATGAAACATTTTTACATCACTTTTGCCACTATTATTTGTACAAAATGGCATGTAATCCCTTCCAGAGAATACTATGAAATTCCCTTCCTTCAGGTACAATATTGTACAGTGTACATGTAAAATAATTCATTATTCGTTTTATACATTCTATTTTACATATCTACATCTTTTTTAGATGGATAAACCTAGAAAAATTGCCAACGTCCAGCTGAGGTGTCTGCTAGAAATGTTAGAAAATTAAAAAAAATACTCTAACTTCACACCAGCAAAGAAAGCCAATGACGCTAAGATTACCAAAATCTCAAGGGAGAGTGTCATTCTAGGTCTACCACATGGTCACAGACTGCTCATATGACTGCAATGATACAATATATTTCATTTATGCCAGAGGGGACGCCATGGCTGTTGTTCAGATTTTATAGTACTTATGATTTTACAAGTCATGGACATATGCTTAATATATAAATACATATTATATACATGTGTTATGTTTTACTTACATCATGGACAAACCAGTTCTCAAACCTCTAAGCATTCCTGAGTCTTTTAGTATAAAAAGAAATAAATCTTTATTCTTCACATATATGTACACAGTCAATTGAATCTTTATTTAACATTTCTGTAAGTTTTGGCTGAAATAATCTTTAATTAACATTTCTGTAAGTTTTGGCTGAAATGAAACAATTAGAAAAGCCTGTTTTCCATCCTGAAAAAAAAACACAACTCCCTTACAAAACTGGCATGGCCTCTTAGTTTAGCCAAAGAAGTGATTGTCACAAGACTATCACATGACATATATATAAGTACCCTACAGGGTGCAGGTACCTGCTTTAAGATTCATTTTCTTATCACATTAGTTTAACAACTCTTTAAACGTCTGTACAGCGTTAATGGCTGAATTAAAGATACTGGTGTTCGGATTTATTTTCTTAGAACATTTTCTATCATTCTAGATAGATTTCAAAACAAAATTCATATTTTAGTTTTCACAATTTGTTAATAGCGTAGAGATCTAGTTGTAGCAATTTGCATAAAATTAATCAAATGTGTAATATAATTATTCGTTCCTAAACATTGTTTTCATTTGACAGCAGCAGACATGTCTGCTTTTATGCTAACGCGTTAATGACAAAGCCACTTCTAGTAAAAAATGAACACGCAGCTCATAAATGAAAGGTTTGATAAAGGATAGGCACTTAAAGGAATACTATATGAAGAAACTGTATTTTAAACTGGCTACCTTGAATGTTATTAGAATATATCACGATTTAATATTACTTGTTGGTTGAACTCACGGTATTATGTCACTATGAACTGAATTAAGAAAAATAATTTCCGACCATTTCGTTAATTTTGCGGTGATTCGGAAAAGGCGAGTATGACCCGGATTAGGCAAGGTACCAGTCTAAATTTTCTTGGAAATTCCGATATTAAATCCAACTTAAAGGCAATTTCTTTTTGCGCTATTTTAATCGTGACATTTTAATCTATATTTTAAGATATTCTTTTTAATTTAAATAGATATTTATCGGCGTAATACAACAAAAGTATAAAAATTGGTTCGGAAAGGGCGAGTCCACTGTATACATACTAAAGTAAACTGTGCTTGGCTTAAATATATAACACGACGATTTAGCTGGAATTAAACTTAAGACTTTAAATTAAAACAAGAATAGCAATGATTGGTGCTGACTTTGCTTGAATACAATACATAAAACTGTTTCTACATGTATTTTTGTGTTGGAACATTAAAATTTAAGTCAATTTCTATCAAACTTTCAAAGGAAATTGAACAACTTCCTTAAAGTGACATAAATTAATTTCTACACAAACATTAGCATATAATAAATTTACATGTAAGCTCAATTGGTCAATATTTACACACTGATGTTATCTATGACTCTGCATAACTAATTTGAAAGGTCATCCAGAAATAAAAACATATAATTTACTTACTCAGTACTCTTATTGGAGACGGTTGCCTCGCCTGACTAACTTTATTAAGAAATCGAGCATAATTCATCTTAAAATTGTATCTTATTCCGATTCATTACAAAAATAAACCTAACTAAATAACAATAACAGCCGTCTATTTCTAGCATTACAAATGGCGAATCTTATCTAAGGGGAATAACTTTCACTGTCTTGTAATAAGACTAAATGCCGTACAGAACAGTACCGCATTTTTAAGGTGGATTTCATCTCTGCTGAATATCTATATCTTTGATTGTAATGATGTTGACTTCGTTAATATTGATATGACTTTTAACATCAACTTTTTCATTTCTGTAAATTTCCACTGACCAATTTGTACAGGTCTGTAGAACGTTATATATATTCTGTGAGATTTCCTGCCAATGCAACAGCTAGTCCAGATAATAAAGCTGACAATACCGCACTTTTTTTTATCTTATAAATTCATATTTGTGAATCGCATGGACCAACTTAAAAAATTATCATAGTATACAAAAGAATATTACACTGATATAACGAAAAATTAAACTCCACCTTAACTTCCAGCACAATCAAACTAAAATAAATTTGCATGACTCCATCCAAGAGCAATTTCGAAAACTGCTGAGACACGTTCCATCCAATATATTAGTGTCGGGAGTTGCACTTGTTCAATTTATAGATCTACATGCATATAAATACTTTGGCATTAAAGATAGAATCTTTTAATTTCAAACTTTTCTTGAAGCCTTTTTCTTATAATTTTAAGCAAGCTAAATATATAGCTTAATTATGCATACTTTTCGAACCTGTATTTTCTAACTTTTCCGGGAGTAATTTTGATTAAAACGGTTTATTGATAAAATTTTGTACAGATTTTAAAACAACCAATATATCAAACGCTAGCATTATAATGGAATTTGGTTAAAATATGTTTGAAGCGATCGACTCTATACAGTAGACATTTTTACGTTTGAATAAACTTGGGACAAAAAAATATTTATTGCTTTCCAAGATGCAATTAGGATTGTTGATAACCTGATACATGTTTGTTGATAAACAACTTTTACGCATTGGGTGTGTACATAAATAAATATAATTATGCACATTCGACATTAATACTTTTTTTATCGTTGTCGTCCGTCCAAACGATAATCAGTTAAATTTTAAATTCGTAAGCGAGTTAGCGTGGTCCCAATACCATCTTCACGCATGCGCATTTATAGCGGAAGTTCATTTCGCAAAAAGAAAAAACAAACCTCTGTATTTAATAGACTTAAAAGTACGTAATTGAATTGATAAAGTCAAGATCCCGATGGCACTATTAGCGGAAAAGCATAAAGAGTGGGTTTTGGAGATAATCGATTTATTAAGACAGAGAAAAGCTCGCCCTGACTTCGAGCGTATAAGTCGCATGATTGAACGTTTGCACGGCCTGAATTCAAAGGAAACTATTGAAAGTTTAGATGCCTTAGTAAACGACGAAAAAATACTTAAAGTACACTTTAAAAATAATATAAGCTATAGGAGGGCTGGGCCTTCATTTGGAAATCGCGCGAATAAGTCCAACGAACCTGCCATTAATACTACAAGTTACAGAATTACCCAGGCAATTAAAACAATAACGAAACAAACGGGGGATGGTGTGACATTTTCAGAATTGGAGCATTGGCTCATTTCTAAAAACCCAGAAACAAGGCTTGTCAAGCTAAGGCTTCATACTGCCTTGTTAAGGGAAATCGAGGCAAATAGAGTGACAAAACTCTCTGATAACTGCTATGTATTAACAGACAGTCTTCCAAGTGCAGAAAAGGCAAAAGAGTTGCAACCAAATGCTTCACCCAGAACAAGTAAAAATACACCTAAAGCATTAAAGCAGACTGCTCTTAATGACCAAATTGAAAGTCAGACACTTAAAATTGAACAGGATGATGCGTCTTATGACAATGATGAACCAAAGCGCGGACGCCCATTATCAAAAAGAAAGGTTACTTTTTTATGATAGTTTTGTTGTTAATGCCTTAATTAAAAAAATAATATATTTAAAATGTCTGCACTTTTTAAAAAAAATTGATACTATTATGAGGACTGCATGTAGGTAGAGAAACATGTCTTGCAAATTGTTTAGTTTAGATAAAATAGTACAGAGGAAAAACCCAGGTAAAAAGAACTATTCTCATTTCTTCCTACATGCACCTAGTACTTTTGAAAAATCAGCCGAAATGAAGGCTTAAGGAAAAAAATAAAAAGCTGTTAGAATTTTAAGTCTACTTTTTATATGAGCAGCAAAAGTAAATTTGCAAAATTGCAAGTAATATCATATATGAAAATAACATTTACATGTGTACATTGTAATATAACCTGATTTGTAAGTTGTAATATCATCTAATGTGCTAGATGTACATTATAATATCAATTTACCATTATAACGCCCTTGCCATTGTGGGAACTCACAATAATCATCACGCCATGACCCCTAGAATTGGGAGTTTTACATAATTATGTATATTGAATAAGACCATGAAAATAATGGACTTTTTATTCAGGTGATAACAAACATGTAAATTGTGCCTTACATAAAGTTTTATATGTGCCTAAACAGGGCTATCATTAGTAAGTGGCTGTAAGCCAAAGTAACAGTCTCATATGCATTTTACCTGACCTCAAAACTTCGACAACATTTTTTGTTGAATGTGATTAAACCGAAAGTGACTGCCTCATATTCAAAATGGTTCATTCCAGAAAAATGTTAATGACAACCCTGCTTAATAGTTCAGCAGATTGTGAAAAAAATGTACAATTATTTTGAATTTTCATCATGAAATTGGGAATTTTCAACTGTTTTGTGAATTTGAAAGATGCCTTTAAAAAAGAAAAGAAAAAATATCTATTAAAAAAAAAAAAACAAAAAAAAAACAAAACCACACACTAAAAAAAGTAAACAAACAAAAAATAAGAAGTGACTGTTGCAGCATTGGTAAAATATAGATTTTTTTAAAATCCTTTTTCAGAAGATAAAGAAGTCACATGGACCTGACTTTGAGGACACGCTGAAAGTTAAAAAGCCAAGTGCTAGAGACGGCTCAAAAAATGGTGAAATTACATGTGATTTTTGTTCCTGCACTGCTCAATCTAATCGTGAAGGAAAACAAGAGCCTTTACTTACATGTAAAGACTGTAGTGCTAAAGGTATGTTAAAATTCAGAAAACAGGGAAAGGGCAATTAAATCTGTGATAATTATCATTGTGTACTTTATTTTCCAATTTACAAAGATTAAAACATAGGTTTCAATACATGTGCTCAAGTATAATACATGTGTACAAGTTCATATTAAATGTACATTTGTTAAGCATATAAAGGGATGATGTGCAATAACTTAAGGCTAATTTTGGTAAGCTGTTATTGGGTCATAGTCCCAACTGAAATGTAAAAACTACTTTGAAATGATTCTCTTGATGATACAAACAATGATTCTGTCAAGTTCAAACAACTTTTTACACCTTTATACCCTTTTATTGTCATATTCTTGAAAATACATGTACATGTTTATTATAATGTACATTTATTTTTATGGTCAACTTCTTTGAGCTCCGGGTTTTATTTTTATCTTGTACAACATTTTTGGATGTTATGATCAAGAAAAGATCAACTGACATGCTGTATTAATAATTACCATTCTGGTTCTAGTTTATAACTTTTCCTTTAGTCTGCTGGTAGGAACTAAATATTTACGACCAGTGCAGACCAAGATCAGCTGGCACATCTGTAGTGGCAGATCATGTTCGGCACTATTTGCCATTCACTCCGTACATATTTTGAAAATTTCTCTAAAAATGATGAATGGTTTTGTTCAGATTGAAAGATGGAAGACAAGTTCATTTAAGATAAAGGGTTAATACAGAGAAAGGGTTAATACATAGTTTATGATCATATTTTCAGTGCACCCATCATGTATGGATTACAGTGAAGAGCTGGCAGAAAGGGCCCTGAACTCTCCCTGGCAGTGTATGGACTGTAAAACTTGCTGTATTTGTGATGGCTCAGAAAATGATGTAAAAACACCTTACTGCTTATTTTGAATTTTAGTGAAAATACATTTATATTTAATATTTTTTCATTAAGTATATGTATATAATGAACACACTAAAAGAACAAAATTTGAATTTTTATAGCAGAGGCCAATTACAAAAAAGTTAGGGTTTCAGGCCTTTCTACCAATCCTCATTTTTAATTTTGGATCCTAGACTTTTAACTTGCTTTTTCACATTTTCATAGTCTTTTCTTTACAATGTACATGCATGTATACAAAAATAATATTAAAAAAGAAAAAGAAAAAAAGAAAAAGAAAAAAAATTATACCTACCAACCCAGAGGACTTTTGGATTTGGATTATTTCATGTGGTTCTCCTCTAGCATTTACTAGCTGGTGCCTGAAATAATGCATGGATGGGCACTGGAGGTCTTCCTCTCTTCCTCTACCATTAAAGTAGCAATGTTACATTAACAAAGTATTTAATGACTTAAAATCCAACCACACATATACTGGCAGGGAAAGGTTATTTCAGTAAACATTATAATTATGCACTCTTTAATAATATACCTGTTTTTCTGAAATCAATGTTCTTAAATTTCCATAGGTCAGGTGAATTTTTGATTTTTTTTACATAGTAAAATATGAAATGACATGTAAATACAATTGTGTCAAAATATGAAGTTACTTTGAGTTTTACCTTTGCTCTCACCACTTACACATGGATTGGCATAATACATGTATCACTTAAATGATGTAAACTGAAGGAATTGCTGAGGATTGAATTACCCCAAGGGATTTATTTTGTTTATTAGTGATTTCTAGCTACATTTGTAACTTGTGAAAGAGTTATGGATCTTGTCTCTACTCATATTTGTTATGTGCAAATGCTGAGCAGACAATTGGTAATGAGTATCACTATGTGTATAAGATGATCAAGAAATAGTCATTGATTAAGAAATTTTCACTTTATTCCAGGATTTAATTTTGTTTTGTGATGCTTGCGATAAAGGCTTCCATATGACCTGTCACACACCAGCTGTCACTAATAAACCTAAAGGTAAGATGTGTTTGTGCTTCTCAAACTATATGAAATGTCAAAGCATACATGTGAACTTTTTTCGATAATCATGTCGTAGATATTCTTCAAAAAGAGGGAAATTTTTAGAATTTGCAATAAACAAAGAAGAAAGTCCTGACATCTAAAAGAGGGAGATTTCTTTAATTTGTGAAAATACCCCTTAATTTAAGGAAAATCTTTGAAAATATGGCTGCAGAAAGTGGGAGTCTCCTGCTTAAAGTGGGAGAGTTCTTATGTATGTGAAAGGACTACCTCAATTGCATTTTACGCCACCTCCAAACTTTTGAATACACTTTATAAAACCAAAGAATGACCATATCAGATTTAAGACAAATCGTCTCAGAAAAGTTTTTATAACAACCTTTGGCTGTTTTATATATCACACTGTGGCCATATTCTCTTATAATACTGTTGGCGAACTATAATACTAATATTTAATGTTAGCCTGATGAAAACATACTTTTTTCTTTACTAGCATCCAATAAATTGTTCAGCATAATGCATTCGAAGAATTGAATTTTGACTTTCAATAAGCAAATACTTTTCATTTTTTTATCCAGGAAGTTGGGTATGTACTCCTTGTAAACGAAGATTGGCTAAAGATGGGAGTGACAAAAATACTCCAAAATATGTACAAAAGAAAGGTAAGTCATTCTTAGATAATACCTCTTACAAATATGGAAATAATGCTTATATATATATTTTATGTATTTTAAAACATATATTAACCACAAGACTCGTCTGTATAAGATGAAATCTTGGAATGAAGCAGTATCAGACATCAAAAGTGTGAGAATAAGCTGTGTAAGGAATCTGTTTTTGGTTCCTCTTGGGTGTCGGCTCCTGCTAGATATAATGCATAGAGGCACCTTACGTCCTCCTCCATCAGGTCACCATATGACCTTAACAGTGATGTTGTGACTTAAAACTAACCCATAGAGTTTCATTTTGTCCATTACCTTTGTAAATTAAAATAAGAAAACAGCATAAGCCATCAGTTTATGTATTCCGTAGTAATAGTAATTTTCATTGGTTTATTAGGAAGTATTCCACATAAAAATCAAAAGAAATAGCCCATACAGTGGTATGACAAAACCAACATAATGGGTTTGGGACCAGCATGGATCCAGACCAGCCTGCGCATCCGTGCAGTCTGATCAGGATCCATGTTGTTCGCTTACAAACCCTATAACAAGTAGAGAAACTGATAGCGAACAGCATGGATCCTGATCAGACTGTGCGGATGCGCAGGCTGATCTGGATCCATGCTGGTCGGAAACGCATTACGTTGGTTTTGTCATGACACGGCTCAAATTACATGAAACATGTTGTGGATCACCTGTCTTCTTTTGGCGATTTGTTTCGTAATCCAGCTTTGCTGGCACTGTCCTAATGAAATAAAAGACCTGTGTCTTTCAAACAAAATGAAATACCTTGTCTACATGATTTTTCTTTCAAGTTTGAAAAAAAAAAAATTGTCTTTTGCAGATGAAACAAAATCAGAGGCTACAAGTGATGGTTCTGTTAAAGAGGAGGATTCTGCTGCAAGGTTTCTATAATTTGTTGATATTTATAGTAATTTAATAGGTAACAGTGTCAATATTATAAGATGTAAAATTTGTCGTAATGAAAAAGAAACAAAAAATGAATTTGTCCTTAATCAAGTTGAATAGAAGGAAAAAATGGGTAAGCAAGCCTTTTGCAATTTCATATGCTTTGTTTAACAAGTTTTCAATATTGTGATACTTAAGTAACATGAATTTTGTATTTTATGTATCATATAAACAAATATATCCAAATATGGAAAAAAAATAAACATATAAAAATCATTTGTTTTTTTTAACCCTTAACCTGATAAATGAGAGCAATAGACTATTCTAGCTTTGAATTTGGGACCGTTCATTCCAATTTTAGGGATTTACAGATCAAAAAACGTCTGGAAATTTCTAGCCTAAGAAATATTAATGGATTGGTTAATGTTGCATATTGTTAAAGTTTTATTTTCTTCACAGAAAAGGTAACAAAAGAAAGCTCAGCGAATTTTGGACAGTCCATTCCAATTTTAAGGGATTTACAGATCAAAATACAAAAATTGAGCTGCCAACAGTATTGAGCCTGGAAATTTCTAGCCTTAGAAATAATAGTGGATTGGTAAATGTTGCACATTGTTAAAGTTTTATTTATTCACAGAAAAGGTAACAAAAGAAAGCTCAGCGAGACGCCCTCGTTAACAAAACCAAAACGACAGAAGTTAAACTCATTCTCTAGTGATAAGTCTGTCTCAAATATTGATAATGGTAAGTGTATCATATAATTTCATTTTTCAGTACATCAGTATTTGAAATTCTGGAATGAGAAAATTTGTGCTTCTAAATTGATACCAGAAATATCTTGTAAAGAGGAGATTTTGTAAGCATAAAATTTGCTTAACTCTAGCACTGACAAAAAAAAAAACACCCAGAAATTGAGTGGTCAGCATTTCCAAGGTCTATTAAATCTCTAGAGTCTGCTTTCTGAACTTAAAATTTTTTAATGTTATACATGTAAACAATTATTTTAGTGGGCTTGAGTTCAAGGTCCTTTGTTTGAGTGACAGGCACATAAACCACTGGATCATAGAATCCATTATAACTATGCTCCCCGAAGGATGAGCATATTGTCCGGGACATAACTTTGAAACAACAAGAGGTATCAATATGAAACTTTGTAGGTAAATAGATCTCATTGGATAGGACTGCAATGCTAAAGAACCTAAACACAGCCTTGTCTAATTTTGGAGTAATTGCCCTTTGTTCATTTTTACACTTTGAATTTTACCAGGGACATAAGTCTGAAACTATAAGAGATATCATCACGAAACTTTATAGATAGATAGATCTCATTGAATAGATGTGCAGTGCAAAAAAATATAACTCTGCCTTGTCTAATTTTGGAGTTTTTTTATACTTTCCTGTGTCCAAAACCTTCTCGGGGAGCATCAACCGGTTCTTGTTTTTGAGTTCTGTGTTATACCATGGCCGAATGGTTAAGGTTGTCCGATAATGATTGCCCCTTATCCCTTTTGGTTAGAATCCCACCAGGAACTATGGATTTTTGAACAAAAAATTGTGAGGAAGATATCCAGTGTTGGTGATTCTATTTAGAAGTCAGTAAGTGCCTGAAATAATGCACAGAGGGCCACTTAAGGTATAAAGCTGGAAATTCATAGTGCCCTTGTGACATAAAAACCAACCAGTGTAATGGACTTGTGACATTTGTCCTAATTTGAATTAAGGACTCTTCTTTTATGCATATAAATATCAAAGTGTTAAGGTTGGGCGGCCAACAGTAGTCTGGTCAGATAAATATACAGGGTGACTTTACTATATGGTGACATAGGTTAGGTCTGACTCTGGTATTATTAAATGTGTTTAATAACAGTATTTTTTAATTTTTGATGTGCTTTGTTAGTATATTTGTTTGCATTGTACTTCATTATTCACAAACAGGGTTTGTTTTGACTTGTTATGCCTCAATGCTTGATATTGTTGTTATGCAGATAGAAATGTCGGCGCCTCAAGTTTACCCACCCCTGATGCCACACCCACAGCTTCGCCAAGACCCAGTGACACATTTGAGTATGTACAATGTATCTTCTGCTACTGCAAATACTGTTTTGTATAAGTTTAATATTTATTTTTAGCTTCTATGTTTGAAAAATTATTTTAGTTTTACTGGACTTGAAAACTTTGTCTTTATCAGATCAAACTGGCTCACTGATATACTTAAACTAGTAATATAACCAGCTGTTTTTAGTTTTTTTCCAACAGTAGTAGGATTGGGTTTCCATTAGGAATACAATCTGCTATCGGCTATAAAAATGGGGGATAAAAGACATACTGAAAACTATAACAATTACAGAATTGTGTTATAAGTACTTCAGATTTATACAGATTAACAGAAAACCTTACAGGGATTCTATAAAGAGAAAGAAAATTGCCTGTATAACTTGCGTACATTTATCTAGATTGTATATAACAACTCTGAATACTGCATTTAAAGGAACATTGTGCCTCAGAAATCCATTTTTTTATTCTTTAGAAATGACACAAACATGTGTTAAACAATGTTTTAATTATGAATTAAGAGCAAGTTAGATGTTTAACAACTGAGGGATCCTTAGTAGTGCTGAATGTGCAATAATGTGTCTTAAAGGTAGCAAAATGTTAACAGAGTAGTAGTTTGACTTTCATACAAAATAATAGTTTACAATAATTATACAAATTGAGCCGCATCACGACAAAACCAACATAATTGGTTTGCGACTAGCATGGATCCAGACCAGCCTGCGCATCCGCGCAGTCTGATCAGGATCCATGCTGTTCGCTATCAGTTTCTCTACTTGTAAAAGACTTGGTAAGCGAACAGCATAGATCCTGATCAGACTGCGCGGATGTGCTGGCTGGTCTGGATCCATGCTGGTCGCAAACCCATTATGTTGGTTTTGTCATGACGCGGCTCAATTATCAACAGAGCAAAAGAAGCTTAAGATAGTTCATGTATATGGCAAATGTTTTTTTTTATGCCACCGCAGCATCTGCGATACAGTGGCATATAGCGATTCACCTGTGTGTGTGTGTGTTTGTGTGTGTGTAATATAGATTATATAGTGAACTTAAAAAATCTTCTTGTGAAAAACCACTAGTCCAATTTCAACCAAACTTGGCAGGATTGTTCCTTGGGTGAAGGGCTTCCAAAGTTGTTCAAAGAATTTCATTCCATGCAGAAATCTGGTTGCCATGGCAACCAAAAGGAATTATAAGAATAAACTTAAAATACCTTCTTGTAAAAACCCAAAAGGCTTAGAGCTTAGATATTTTGCATAAGGCATTGTCTGGTAGACCTCTAACAAGATTGTTCAAATTATAGCCCTTGGGTCAAAATTGGCCGCCCTGGGGTCATTGATTTTCTCTATATGTACATATAGTAAAAACTTAAAACACCTTCTTGTAAAGACCCAAAAGGCCTAGAGCTTAGATATTTTGCATAAGGCATTGTCTAGTAGACCTCTACCCAGATTGTTCAAATTATAGCCCTGGGGTCAAAATTGGCCCCGCCCCAGGGGTCATTGGTTTTCCTTATATGTATATAGTATAAACTTATATATAGCAATTGACAAATGCTAGAGGTTAGATATTTTGCATGAAACATTGTGTTGTAAACCTCTAGCAAGATTGTTCAAATTATAGCCCTGGGGTCAAAATTGCCCCCGCCCTGGGGGTCATTGATTTCAATATATACATATAGTAAAAAATAAAAAAATGTTATTATCTGAAGGTACAAGGCTTAGAGCTTTAATATTTGTTAAATAATATCATCTAAAGGTACTCTACCAAAGTTGTTCAAATTTTGCCTCTTGTGTCAAAATTAGCCCCGCCCTTGGGAGCCATAGGTTAATTTTATATGTATATAGTTAAAACTTAAAAAATCATCTTCTCTAAATTTACAAAGGATAGAATTAAGATATTTTGCATGGAACATTGTGTAGTGAACCTCTAGCAAGATTGTTCAAATTATAGCCCTGGGGTCAAAATTGGTTCCGCCTGGGGGTCATTGATTTTCATTATGTACATATAGTGAAAAAAAATAATTTTTGTCTGAAGGTTCAAGGCATAGAGCTTTGATGTATGATATATAATATCATCTATAGGTCCTCTACCAAAGTTGTTCAAATGTCAAAAATTGGCCCTGCCCGGGGGCAGTGATTCTCATTATGTACACGTAGTAAAAACAGAAAATAAAACAAATGTTTTCTGAATGGGAGAAAGCTATAGCTTAGATATTTGACTTGAAATGTTGTTTGGTGGACCTGTATCAAGATTGTTATTAAACCCTTGGGTCAAAATTATGCCTTGCCCAAGGGGACAGTAACTTACATTCTTGTCCTTTGATGTACAGCAATGACATTTTGACCATGTGCACAGTTTTAGTTGTAAAATTGAACTTTGACCTAGATTTTGATGATGTGACCTACTTTCTTGTCCTTTGATGTACAGCTATGAAATTTGAACCATGCGGTGGCATAGCATTTTTCTCAAATGCAATCTTGTTTTTAACTGTAACAAGATACCATAAATAAAAAGTTTTTTCAGAAATAAAAATGATGCATTTCTGAGGCATAATGAGCCTTTAAATGTAGTGTCCATTATTCTTTATATATAGCATTTAATTATTACAAAAATGAAGATAAATAGAGGATATTTGTTTAGTTCAGTGTAAGATCAGAATATATTTCACCGATTGAGCATCAACAGGTATATTTCACGAGTGACGCAGCCACGAGTGAAATATGAACTTTTGGTGTTCACAAGGTGAAATTTATTTCGATCTTACACTAAACTAAACAAATTTTCTTTTTATTACATGCAAAGAAACGTTTTAAAAACACATTTAACCTAATACTGAATGAAAAGCGCGCCAAATGATAATACAACGTGACGTCATTTACGACATCACGTCATTAAGTTGGTACCTAGTACTGTGCACGCTGGTATTTCACTGCAACAACGTAAGGGGCTTAAATTCAAAACAGTGAAATTATCAAAGAGGTAATTTCACTGTTTCAAACAGTGAAATTACCAGTTTTATATCACTGATATAATTATTTCTATAAACCACCGAAAAGCATGTAATAAAAGAATTCATTTAAAGTATGTAAAAGTCTTCTTGTTTCTCATAAAAGTGGTTGTGTTTCAGTTATGAAATGAAAATGTCTCTGCTCGGACAAGGTGTTACCATTACCGAGGATAGGACAACTTACACTGATGCGTCTAATTGGAGTGTGGATGAAGTCGTTAAATTTTTTGACGAAAACGGATTTAAGGAACAGTCTAAAATATTCCAAGATCAGGTACGGAGACTGTTTATGTAATATCCAATACATATGAGTGACTTTTAAAGGCACATTATGCGTCAGAAATAAATAAATTTTTACTTTTTAAGAAAGAGCAATCATGAAAGTTACAATGTTCAGATAATGTTTTAAGAGAATGTTAGATGCTTGAGACCTTAAGGAGTTGGCAATAGGTGTGAAATGATTTTTTATAAAAGTAGCAAAATGTTAACTTGGTAGTATTTTGACTTCCATACAAAATACTAGTTCACTAATTGTACTTATTGCCAAAAAGCAACAGATGAACAAGATGGTTCAGGTAATTTGCCAATGAGGAACTTTTTGGATATTATAAAAGTACACAAAAAATGCTTTTGAGGAATAAAAATAAAAGTATTTCTGTGGAACAATTTTGGAGAATTAATGATATTTGAATCAAGAAATGAGCCATAGAGAACAAAATGTAACAATTAACTTTACAGACTATTAAAAATTGAAATGTATCATATAAGTACCTAATCTCACACCCAACTTATCTCCAATCTTTTTTTTATTTTTTTCACTAGAAGTGCCTATGATGTCATCAGTTTGTGTGCACAAAAGCTTAGTTTCTGACAGACATGTTCGCTGCTGTCAAATGAAAACAATGCAATAGGAATGGATATTTAAGATAAATATTTTGTTACTTAGTGTAATTTCATATAAATTGCTATCACCTTTGTAGGTCCTGTAAATACACCATTAAATAATTTTCAAAGTGGATATCATAAACATAAAAAATCTTAATGCAAAGTTACCTGCATCTTGTAGGTTGCTAAAAGGTCATGTGAAAGTCATGTAAATACCACCTTTAATGGCTAAATTAAACTGTAAAATTTTGAAGATACTTGAAGAGGTTAGAGATTAGGTCCCTAATTTAAAGAGACCATGACAGGTTTTCGAAAGAGGGTTGTCAGTGTGACTTGTGCTTTTCCAAGATTAAAATTAATTCTTAAATTAATTGTTTAATTTTAGCCATATTTGACAGAAATGTTCGATAAAAATTAAAGTGTATATATGTAAAGAATTTTTATTATTATATTTTTCTAATGTCACTTACAGGCATCTTGAATGCTTAGAGGTCTGAGATTTGGTTTGTCCACGGTACACAAAAAAAATGCATATATCAATCATAGTGGGTTATACCGTATATCAGGTTTTTCTCGCGAGTATCTTATTTTCGCAACATTCTTAATCCTTAGAAAAAAGTGAAAACATTTTTACAACAAAACAAAACATTTACAACAAAAGCGGGAAAATTACATTCGCTAGAAATAGATTACTGCCGTACACGAAAATAACCTCATGTACGGTTCTATCAGTGTAAAAGTGATATAAATAAATAATATGATATCACAGATAAACAATGTATTTCACTGGTTAGTGTAAAATATATTTGTTTGTTAGATGTATTTTATTCAAAGATGTTTTGCTTTATGTATCCTTGTGTATTGTGCAGTTTTGCATTTAAAAAAAAAAGATTCCGTGGCTTAGTGTTAAATTGTAAACTGTACTGACTCCCAATCACTTGGCCCTCGATCACAGCTGTAGCTTCAAATCTCATCTTGGTTATGGCATAGACTAGTGGTAAATTATTAAAGGTACTGACGCCCAATCACTTGGCCCTCGATCACAGCTGTAGGTTCAAATCTCATCTTGATTATGGCATAGACTAGTGGTATTGTAAAAGGTACTGACGCCCAATCACTTGGCCCTAGATCACAGCTGTAGGGTCAAATCTCATCTTGGTTATGGCATTGACTAGTGGTAAATTGTAAAAGGTACTGACGCCCAATCACTTGGCCCTCACATCTGTAGGTTCAAATCTCTTAAGGAATATTAGATAACTATATTTTTAACCAGGTTTTCCGAAGGAAAAAACTGGTTATTAGATTGAGGTATGTCGGCCGCGGGCGGATGGGCGGACGGGCGGGCGGGCGTAAACAATTTCTTCTGTGCGCAACTCCTCCTACATTTTTTCAACGGATTTTGACACAAACTTTCACAGAAGCTTTGTCATCAAGTGACCTGGCGCATATTGTCGGGTTTTGTGATTGGATAATATTTGACCTAATTATGGCCCTTTGTTTTTTTTTCCTTATATAATATATATAGTGAATAACTTCTTCTGTGCCCAACTGTTCCTACATTTCTCAATGGATTTTGACCAAACTTTCACAGAGGCTTTGTAATCAAGTGCCCTGGCGCATATTGTCGGGGTTTTGTGATTGGATAATATTTGACCTAATTATGGCCCTTTGTTTTTTTTCCCCAATATAGGATATATAGTGAACGATTTTCTGTGGCGCAACTCCTCCTACATTTCTCAACGGAATTTGACCAAACTTTCACAAAGGCTTTGTCATCAAGTGCCTTAGGACATATTGTCAGGGTTTTGTGATGTGTATAATATTTGACCTAATTATGGCCCTTTGTTTTTTTTCCTTATACTAGATTATATAGTGAACAATTTTTACCATGCGCAACTTCTCCTACATTTCTCAACAGATTTTGACCAAACTTTCACAGAAGCTTTGTTAATCAAATGCCCTTTGGCGCACATCATCGGGGTTTTGTGATTGGATAATATTTGACCTAATTATGGCCCTTAGTTTTTTTTCCTTATACAGATTATATAGTGAACAATTTTTACCATGCTCAACTTCTCCTACATTTCTGGACAGATTTTGACCAAACTTTAACAGCGGCTTTGTCATCAAGTGCCCTGGCGCACATTATCGGGATTTTGTGATTGGATAATATTTGACCTAATTATGGCCCTTTGTTATTTTTCCTTATACAGAATATATAGTGAAAAAATTCTTTTGTGCTGAACTCCTACATTTCTCAACGGATTTTGTTTAAACTTTCACAGTAGCTTTTTTATCCAGTGCCCTGGCGCATACGTGGGGTTTTGTGATTGAATAATTTTTCATTTAATTATGGCCCTTTGTTTTTTTTCCTTATACAGAATATAATTATAGTGAAAACTTCCTCTGTGGCAATTCCTCCTACATTATTCATGTTTTACATTGCACATAGTTACATTGTTCGTTGTTTGTATTTGTATTTCAAATACAACATATTTATCTACAATGGTGATAATTGAAAACCTGGTTTCATGGCATTGCCATGTTTCTTGTTATACTATGTGAAGAGTGATACATTTTTGAGAACAAAACTGATATAATTGGACTTGTACACAGCTAAGACCTTGTCCAATATAGATTTGACAGCTGTGTACTTGTCCAGTAGAATTCAGTATTGTACTCAACAATGTATTAAAAATAACATAGTATTATAACACTTGACTATTCTGAAATATACATACATTGAAGTATGTAAATATTTGATGTTGACCTGCAAATGGATTAGGAACATAATTGACCTTTGGACTATAGAAAACAAAAGAAGAGTATTGGAATGTTGGCCCTATTAACATTTGTGTAGGATGTTCCATTGTAGAATAAAGGATAATTAAATATACTAAAATTTGTTTTGTGTTTTTTTTCCCCCACTTTATCTTATTTCTCAAAGCTCAAATTTAACAGCTTATCAACTTCACTTCTTAAATTTTCTCCCTTTTTCAGGAGATAGATGGACCATCTTTACTGTTGATGAGAAGAGAAGACGTCTTGTCGGCGCTGGGTATAAAACTGGGCCCGGCTTTAAAAATCTACGTGAAAATTAAGAAAATTCAGCATTACAGTCAAGGCACGACTGCTTCATGACATGAGTCATGGCAACTTTATTTTGTGATACATGATGCATTAAAATAGATTGTAATGTTTATTTTTGCTTAGAAACAGCTTGTTTTGTGCTCTATTCAAAAGTTGATCAGGTTAATCAACGTCCGATGGAGAATCAGATGGTCTTTCAGTTCACTGACTCAGATGTGTAGTATATTTTCATTTCATTGGCTCATATGTGCAGTAAATGTGTATTTCACTGACTTGGTTGTGTAGTAAATATACATTTTACTTACTCAGATCTGTAGTAAATGTGCATTTCACCAGAGACATAGATAACGCTATCTATGTCTCTGATTTCACCAACAAGGATGTGTAGTAAATGTACATATGTACATTAACACTTACTAAGATGGTAGTAAATAAACATTTAACTGAATCAGATATTTGGTTAATGTGCATTTCACTGACTCAAAAGTTAGTTGATGTATATTTCACTTACTCAGATGTTAGTTAATGTAAATATAACCAACTCTGATGTGTAGTAAATGTGCAGTTTACCAACTCAGATGTGTATTTCAAATTTGTAGTAAAACTACATTTCACTGACTCAGATGTGTAGCATATTTACATAGAATATTAAATTTCAATGGCTCAAATATGAAATTTATACAGATTTCAATGGCTTTGATATGTCAAAAATATTAACATATCATTGACTTAGATGTATAGTATATATGTTTTACTGATTCAGACATGTGAAGTACATGTATATTTTTGTTTACACTTACTCAGATGTGTATAAAATAATTGTGTAAGAACATAATAAGACATGTTACCATGTATATTAATGCTGTGATTTATAACTAAAAGTTTATAAATGTATGTATATTGCCGCAGAATCTAATATATTGTGAAGCTAATTTAATTGATACATGTCTAGAAAATTGATTGTAGGTGTGTTCAAATACATGCTGGTGCGAGACATATTCTCGTGCTTGGTCTCATAGTTAGAACCCATTCTTTCGTAGATTTCTTTAATATATTCATGTTTACATAAGTCTCGCTGATTATCATGTGTTCTATATAAACACGTGTACCGTGATTCTAGCGATCAAATTAATAGAGATATATAGGAGATGTAGATAAATGTTATCATGTGTGAATTAGTTGTCTCCAAAAAGGTGTTTCTATTGCTCGCTCGCTATGTAGCTTGTTAGTTCCAAATTGGGTAAGTAAATATCAATTAAAACTAAATACTAACATGAGAGTCATGTAGATCTATTCCTTTGAGCTTATATTCTAAAATAGTACCTATATTGTCCAAAGTACATAAAGATGCAGATTTGTATTTATAACTATATATTGGTACAGTTCCTCAGCTCACTATATGATATATAAAGATTCGATCATAATACTGTCTGAACACTCCATAGTTCTCTCATTAGTGTCTTGATTGAGATAGAGTGTATTAATAAAAATGGAGTGTTACGAGTAGTCCATATCTTTGAAAATTGTTAACGTACACAGCAATCCAACCAATTCTCGAGTATAGCTCGTCTACTTGTAGAGCTGATCATATTGTTGTGGATAGTATTAGAGGCTCACCGAAGTCACATATAAAGTAAACAATGATGTATTTCTATATGTATATATAATATTTTCGATGTTAAGGCGAAATATATTTACTACATATTGCGCACTATAAGAACTATATGTTATACATAAAGTGAGCTGCACTAAGAAAGCATATGTGAACATTTAAGCGATTTAGTGTAGACTTATATCTAGGTGATTGAGGAAGATTCCTCCCGGAATATCCTCTTCCTATATAGCTGCTCTCATAAGTGTATTCATGAGCACACTGAAATCTGGTTTAAACTTTCAAAAAGGCACACCCTTCAAGGCTACCAAAGCTCGACTATCTATAATTTACAATTGTACAAATTAAATATCTCGTGGATAGCCACATAAGGTAGCCTACTCTATACTGAGAGTGAACGTTTTTCGTATAGCTAGACACACACTAGTAAATGTGCACATAGAGAAGACTGATTCAATGGGAATCCACATAAGTTCCCTTGTCAGTGGTATTCCGAAATGATTAATTATAAATGGATCTAGCCGTTTGAGACACTGCGTGTGAACCATTATATTGAGGTCAACACTATATTTTATATGTATTCGGGAGGTTGGTGGTCATATTAAGAGCCTCTGCAAGGTGATGTACAATTTTGCTCTCGCAGTATAAACAGTTTATGACATGTACTTACTAACCTTGATGTGACGACAGCGTTTGCTATGATCCCTATGATGACACTTTTAGTATTCAAAACTACAAGATACTGTATTTGTAGAATGGGATATATTATCTATATCTGTAAAATCTTGCGCAATACATTAAATGCACCAGTTTCAATAAATAATCACCTAATATTTTTATTTCTATTTTCTATATCTCTATCATATATTTTTTCGTTCTCTTCTTACTAATATATAGAAGTATTGTTTTGATTCATAAGTTAATCGGTTCTAGGTGAGGTGTTTTCAGTACTATGAGTGATCCTCGATGATAACATCATAACCACGACATCGCTGTAGAGTTTTAACACGCACTTTGTGACGGGTGTAGAGCAGTGATATACTCTTATCTTATAGGAGACAGCACCTGTGTAAAGCAGTACTATTTTTAAAGTGGATTTTCATTTGAAATATAATAGTCGGTGTACTTATATTTCAAGCACGACTATTATAAGTAGTAATAATTGTATCTTATTTATTTGCATATATGGTACACGAACTTCCTTCTTGTTACTTTCGTGTGCAACACTATACCAATACAATATTGCATTCCTATATACTTTTTGAAGAAATAAATTCCCATTCGTCAACCGAATCATGATTCATCCAACAATAGGAAAAAGAGTATATACACGAAGTATTGTTATATTGGCTCCATTTGAAGTTATAAAATAACTTATAAATTATTGAGCATAAGGATCTAAATAAGTGTACTAATAATTAGTGTCTGTCTCCTTGCGACGTTTCTTTCAATATATCGAGTAGTCGCGTGCAATGCTATATATTTTATAACTGTACTGTATATGCCTTACTAATGTATTTTCTCTATATATTAAGTTCGCCACATAAAATCTTTTAAATCATTGCATATTATCTCATGTGTAGGCGGATATATGTACATATTTATATCGCATACTCGAGAGCATCTCATATGTGTTGAAAGGCGCCGTTGTAATTCACGTTGTAAAGTGTTATGCACACATCTAATATCTACGCATTGCTGAGGTGATATATATATACCAAATATAGGAGGTAGCGCATGTCATATATATAGTGACACAAGCCTCTGTTTGAAAATAGTCCATATAGTTTTACCTCAACGAGCTCGTATCTTCGTACTTTACTTGTGTGACCTAAACATAACTTTGTAGGTTTATGAGAAGTTAAACAGTCTCGTCTATTTATTAATATTAATCGCATTTATATATATAGCTGTGTTTTGATACATGACGCAATCATACATAATAATCATTTTTATTACAAATTTGTCTCTTTGAAGTGTGTGTGGTGTTCTACTCAGATAATATCACAGTGTGTATATAAACAAGTGAGTAAATACCATGTTTTTCAATTATTTTTATATTTATACACTTAGTTTGAAACTCGCTCAGAGGTAAGTATTTACCAACTTATATTGTGATAATCTCTCACTGTGAGTGAGGTATATTCGAATGTATAGAGGAGCCATTTATCGGTTTGTTATTCAGTGAAAATAAAGATGAGTAATCTCTCAGCTGCACAAACACGCACTCGTTCGTCAAGCTTCAGCTCACTATGGTGATGTGATAAGATACAAACTTAATGATGACGTAGACGGGTCGTAATTGATACTTGTCACTGTTTGAAGTAGAATTTGGCCCGTCGATATTTGTGCAATTTTCGATAGGTAATTTAGGGTTTATTAATTGTCCATCTTCTATGAAATACATCGCTCATACGCTATTGATGTTATACTCATGCCTAGTATATAATTCCGCATATTTTGGTAAATTAGTGTTAATGATGTAGTAGTATTTAGAAAACATAAAATAATTTTTTATCTCGCCCAGTGTGTGACAACAGAGCAATTTTCACATATCCAATATTGCACATTCACTCGTGAAACCACGCATACTTGCATTTTAAGCGCGCCAATCGTTCTGTGTATGTAATGAATTGCCATATTAGGATACATGAAAATGGTCGTGAAATATATATTTGCAAAATAACCGATTTCTTAGATCTGAACTAACAAATACATTCCTCTATAACATTTGTCGGCGATGATTTAAAGGGACTCCGATGCATGACGAGTCTGACAATTATTTTTCGAGATTTATGTCCCACCTGTAGGTCAAGATCAACTATAGACCTATAGATGGGTGTTCAAAATTTCTGATCATTCTCCAGAATAATTATTATTCTTATTGTGAAAAATGACAAAAAGAAGGATTTCTGGACCTAATATCAGTGGAGTCCCTTTAACAAAATCAAAATCCTATACCGGCAGTCGTCTATCATACTGTGAAATACGTGATAACTTTACCAAAAATACTACTGATAAATTTTTGAGTAGAGGGGAATACATTTTAAAGTTTCTACTCAATTAATGCTCATAAAAATTGGATATAATAGTATATTATCTTCTCGCACAGTAAGTCAATCAGTGTATATGATATACTATCTCTTTAAGAATTTTTCTTATACGTTTATAATTCTCATAAGAGTTCTTTTATTTGTCGCTTTAAGCAAATCTGCATTATTCTTGATAACATAAATTTCAATCTGATCAGCATGTTTTACATCAAGTCAGAATTGGTTCAACAGCAATCCAAATTTGAAGCCATGTCATGACAAAACAAGCAATGGATTGCTAACAGCACGGCATGCTTTGTAATATATCGATGAATGAGATACATATATATTTGACGTCTTGTCAATATAGTAGTGATGCACCGAGGGCCGCTATTAGGTAACGCGTGACAAACCGTTTTTATAACCCAATGATTAAAGACAATTTTCAAGTAAGTGGTCAACAAATGGTGGGTTTTTAATTATAAATAATAAAGCCACTTTTACTCATCTTTTTTAACTGCTCATTTGTTTGTAGGGTTTGTTGTTTAGTAAGCCGGTTGAATTTTATGTCGGCACGGATAAAGTCGGTTATAAATCTAATGCAGCACAACAGTGAAAACTTGTCAACTAGCTATAGGAAGTCATCATACATCAGGCATCACTGAATTATGTTAGGCCAATCGTAAACTCTGTTAAATATTCTGCAATTGGTCATTATCTGCTAATATTTCGGTAAAATCTGGGAGAATTTAATTCAGGCGCGTATATTGATGGAGCACACTTGACTTAAAACTTGGTTATAAAGAATCGGATCTTAAATTGAATTGAGTTTTGTCTATGTAATAAATATAATATGGACAAGAAAGCTAGCAGTAACCAAATAAATTGAAAGTACTGACTCAGGCCTAGAATCTCAATGCTTGTCTTCACTGTAGAGAAACTGATAGACGATAAGATCAAGGGTATGGATTCTTGATGCAGAACACTGCGCGGAGATGCATATGACTGGTGCTCACATAACTCCAGTGTATAGTTGGTTTGGTCATGACAGCAGTCCATTTAACCTTTATACTCATGACAGTAGATTTAAAATAGGTTGTACAATTGAGTAATCTGCATCAATGTCTCTAAGTTTAAATAAATTTAATCTTCGTCAATACTGAAA